ACCAAGAAGTTTAAGAAGCCACAAGGGAACACCAAGAACCCCCCCGACAAACAAGGATCACCAAGAAAACCAACCTAAGCCCCAGGGCGAAGGATAATAGAGGAGGGATCAGTAGAAAGGGTGATGAGGACGGGGGAGTGCCCCTCTGCCCCCCCCCGGTACTCAGCAGCAGCCGTTTGGGCAAACCGGGGAGCCTGTGGGTAGAATTGCCCCCCACTCCGAACCTTCTGGGGGAGGGACAGGGCACCCTCCCCCCCGCCCCCTGGGGTTCGACCCAACTTGAAAAATGACCTACAGCTGCATTTGCATCCCACTAGCGCTCATTCGTCGTCGTCGTCGTCGTCGTCGTCGTCGTCGTCGTCGTCGTCGTCGTCTTCGGGACGGAGGTGTTCTTGGCAGCCAAGCGGCGGCAGATCGTGTTCCCTCGGATGTCGCCTCCTGGAAGAGCTGCTCCCGGGGAGCCACGGGCGGCGGCGGCGGGGGGACCTATGGGGCCGGGGGAAGAAAATACAACATTAAAAACAGGGCGGGTGTCAGGGCCCCCCTCTTGCCCGATCCCTCGGCCTCCCGCGCCACGGCCTCGATCGCCCGGGCCCTCCCCAGTTCGGTTCTGGCCCTATTCATCTGGCACCCTGTGGTCCTCTCAAGTCCCCGACGTCGTGCCCCCCCCCAAGGGCTCAAAGGCGTCGGCCACGACGCCCAAGCCCAAGCGCCGCGCGCACCAGATAGCCCTCGTGAAGGCTTCGGTGCCCCCTACTCTCACCCCCTCCCACCATGCCTCCCGCCTCCACCTGCCGTCGCCTCCTCCTCCTACCTCTCCGCCTCTCCTCCTCCTCCTTCCCCCTCCTTTCCCTCCCCTTCCCCATCCTGCCTCCTCCTCCTCCTCCTCCTCCTACTCCTCCTCCTCCTTCCCATCCTCCTCATCCTCCTATCCCGTCCCCCTTCCCCTCCTCCTCCTCCTCCTCCTCCTCCTCCTCCTCCTCCTCCTCCTCGTCCTCGATCCCGCCCGCCGCCCCCTGCCCCCCTCCCGATCCTCGGCCTTCCCCTCACCCCTTGCCGTGAGGTCGACGCGGTCACGGAGTGAGCCTAGTCGCTCCAGGGGCGGGCGCCCAGGTGTCCCCGCGGCCTGGCGCGGGGGAGGGCCTCCGCTGGAGCTCGCTGATGCTCAGGCGATCGCAAACATGGATCAGGGGGGTCCTCCTCCTCTCCTCCACTCTCGCTCCTCCTCCTCCTCTCCTCCTCCTCCTCCTCCTCGTCCTCCTCCTCCTCCCCCTCCCCTCCAACTTATGGTGGTGGTGGTGGTGGTGGAAAACAAGCCCATCAAAAGGGGGCGTGGATTAGCGACGGGTCCCGTTCCCATGGGAAATCGCGGATCTCCGCCGCCGCGCGAGGCGGCACCGGCCGCTTTTTTGGGAGGGCACCTCCCCCGATCCATGGATTTGGCGGCCGCGCGCGAAGTCCATGGATCGCCAATCCCAGACCCCCGACGACATGATTTTTTCATGACGTCGAACCCCAGAGATCTCGACCCATTCCCCGGGACCGGTTTTGCATCCTGAGTCGTTTTCTGACGCTCCCGAGGCCCGGTGAGGGGCCCCAGAGGCCGAAAATCAGGGGAAACCTCCCGTCATGATTTTTCCATTGCTCGAGGGGGTCTGGGATCCATGCAAGCGGCGCCCCCGAGATGCCCACGCCGTGGCAGCGGCCTCCCGCTGGGCGCCTCCCGCTGGGGGCAGCGGCACCGACGCCCTCGGAGCAAGGAGGCCCAGACTCCCCCCGCGGCCTGGGCTCTGCGGTCCCGGCGCGCTGCTCCCGCACGCCGGCCTCCCGGGGCCGGTCTCGGTCCTCGGGGCCGTCGGGCATCAGGAGGGAACAAAAACACACAGACACAAGTAATCGTCGATTCCCCAGAAAAGATGGGAACATGTGGGCAGTGGGGGGGGGGAAGACAGGCACCCAGAGAGTATGGGGAACAGACGGGGAAGGATGTTCTTTTTGTGTGCAGCATTTCTTTGTGTGTCCTGGGGCCCCTTCGAGGCACGCGCCCGGGAGGAAAAGTGACCGATCCCGCGGAGGCCCGCCGAGGCCTCCAGGAACCCGCCGCGCCAGGCGGGGGCCCACGGAGGGGGCGGCCCCCCCCCCGACGGTGCCCCCGCCGCGAGCCGCACCAGCCCGCGGCGGGCTCCTCTCGGCCGGCCCCGCCGGGGGAGGGCGGCCCGGGGGGCGGCGCCCGGAGCGCCACGTCGGCGGAGCCGCCGCGCGGTGCGGGCAATGTCTACATGTCCACATCCAGGGCGTCTTGGAGTTTGGGGCTATCTGCCCAAGAAGCACGAGGCGCACTGGATGTGGAGCAGCATCTGCCTCCCCCCAAAAAAGGTTCGATGTTTACCCATATCCAGCGCGCCTCGGCCCTGCGGCGCCCCTTCCAAGAAAGTCCGAGACGCACTGGATACGGATATTTATATTGCCCGCACGTGGTGCCCCCTCCGCTTGGGGGAGCCAGCGCCGTGATCGTGCGCCAGCGTGGCCCTCCTCCCCACAGTGACGTCGAGCCTGTCCCTCTGCAGGAGGAGTATTCAAAGATGGTCAAACAGATAATTAGTCTGGGGGCCATGCTTCGAGTATTTGTTTTTGGCAATTTTGGGGGTACTTTTTTGACTAGTTTAACTTTTCGTGCAAGATCCCCCTCTAGGAGGACAGGCCCGACTTAACCCTAAAGTTGTGGAAGACGATCAGTGGAGAGGAGGCATGTTGTCAAATGTTTCCAGATGTCTAAGGCATGCATTCAACATGTTCTAAGCATGGAATACATATTTGAAACATGCTTTATTAAACAGCTTCAAGGCATTCAAAAACACATGTCAGGTCCAATGACAGGGCTGTCAGGGTGTCCACTGTCATGGCACCCGCAACCCTACAGGACAGCATTCGACGATTCTCAGGACGTGCGTCAGCCCAGGTGTGTGCTTGCCCACTTTAGCTCGTGTGTCGTTCCTCGCTTCGCCGCCTTCGTTATGTTGAAGGGCCTCGGTGGGTCAGCAGACGTGGGCGCTGAACACGTTCTGAGGATAATCGAGCGCAGAGTGAGGGGAAGAAGTGTGACAGAGAAGAACGGGGAGCTCTCGGGCCTCTGGGACAGGGGGCCTTCCGTATCGAAGAAGCCTACGGTGAATCACCGCCGCCCCCTGCCTTCTAGAATCGCCCATGTGGCCGAGCGTTGTGGCAAGAGCTCTGCCAAGCTGTCGGACCATGTGTTCCCCCAACCGTTGTGGAAACCCTGCGTGGAACACTTGGGGGAGGATGGCGGGGAAGATCAGGAGGAGGCGGTGGCGGCGGAGGAGGAGGAGGAGGCGGCGGCGGCGGCGGCGGCGGCGGAGGAGGAGGAGGAGGAGGGAGGAGGAGGAGGAGGAGGAGGAGGAGGGGGCATCTTGGGAGCCTCTGGGGACACTCTTGGGGCCCTCTTGGTCCGTCTTGGGGCCCTCTTGGGCCCGACAATTTCATGCAACATTTTCCGGATCCCAGGCGGCACGCGAGAAGCCCCAGGGGGTTCTGGGCCCCTTTGAAGACCCCTCAGGAGCGAGAATTGAAGCTTAGAGGATCCGGTTGGCCCAACAGGGGGTTTCAGCGAAAAGGGGGTGGTACAATAGATTTGGTGCAATTGACTTGTGGGGTTGCAATCGATTTTGAGGTGTGCAATACCTTCCAGGGCGCAAAGGTATGGTCGGATTTTTGTGTGCCGCCGTACACTAGCTGTAATACAACTCAATGCACTTGCAATGACGTCGGCCGAAATCTTTTGCAAGCGCAAGTCCGATCGAGCGCCCTAGGACGTCTCGTCCCGCTTGCGGGAACTCCGCGGTTCATACTCAAATGAAGAACGCGTGCAGCGGAAACAGGAGGAGGGGGACGAGGAGGAGGAGGGGGATGAGGAGGGGGAGGAGGAGGAGGAGGAGAGGGGAGGAGGGGGAGGAGGAAGGAGGCGGAGGTGGCGAAAGAAGGAGGGAAGGAGGGACGGAGGCGGAGGATGAGGAGGAGGAGGAGTGAGGAGGAGGAGAGGAGGAGGAGGAGGAGGCGGTCCAGGCTCCCAGCAAGCCTCTAAGGCTCCCGAGAGGCCCCCGACCTCCAGGTGCCCCGCGCCCTCTCCGGACCCAGAGGGGGTTACAGATGAGGAGAGGGGGCCCTTCAGCGCCCAAGCCACTTCCCTCCCCCTCCCCTCCTCCTCCTTCCTCCTCTCCTCCTCCTCTCCTCTCCTCCTCCTCCTTCCCCCCCTTCCTCCTCCCCCTCCTCCTCCTCGTCCCCCTCCTCTCCTCCCCCGACTCCCTCCTCCTGCTCCTCCTCCTCCTCCTCCTCCTCCTCCTCCTCCTCCTCCTCCTCCTCCTCCTCGGGTCAATCCATGGGACGCAGTGAGACATACTAGTGCTAAATCAGACCCCCTTCGGGCCGTACTTCGACCGCGAGGGAACGTTTTTCGCTGCTTGCGGGCCTCGGGGCCGGCAAAGAGCAACAACAGCGCCTCGAGCCCAGGGCCTGAGGACACGCCCACTCCGCGCCCAGAGGCATGGCGGCGGGCCCGTCGGCGCGTCTGGTTTTCTGTGCCTTGTTGGGTCTTTCGCCCTCGGACGGGCCCCCTCGCCGTCGCTGGCGGGATCGAGTCGACAAGCTGGTCTCGGCACGCAGGTAGCGGGGTTCAGTGCAGATGGGGCTCAGAGCGTCAGACCCAGACGTTGTGAACAAAAACACGACGGGAGGTCTTTCGTCATCTTCGGTTTTCCGGGGGCCCTGACCGGGCCTCGGGACCGTCAGAAAACGACCCGGGATGCAAAAACGGTCCTTGGGACGGGGTCGAGACCTTTGGCCTTGGGGGGTCGACGTTGAAAAAAAAACGATATGGGGGGTCTGGGGATCCCGCAGGATCCTGCAAAGTCAGGTCATGGCTGAGCCGTGCTTGGGAGCCGATCGCGGCGCTGGATGTGGCCTTGCATATTGTCTGAGCCGGGTGTGGGAAGCCCCCGACAAATTGCAGCGCAGTCTTTGTCTAAATGGGTTGAGCAGGGTTTGCGCTGAGCCAGATTAGTCCACGCCCGATGGTCAGGATTGTGGGTGCCGACTTCGAGCGGGAGTGGGCAGGGTGGAGAGGCGTTCTTCTTGTTTTTCCGCCGTGAGCTTTGAGAGCCAGGCGCGCCTCCTCCCAGCACGCATCACGTCGACAGTAGTATTTTGCCAGTCAACGCCAATGGCTTGAGAGCCGAATGCTGCCTGCAATGCTGCTCTCGCCACCAGCCTCCTTTCAGAAGCCCTTGACCTGTCCACCCCTATTATTCTTGGTCTTCTTCTTCTTCCTCCTCCTCCTCCTCCTCTTCCTCCTCCTCTTCCAACTTCTTCTCCTGCGTGGGCGTTCATCCTCATCCTCGCAGCCGGTGGGGCCTGAGGAGGGGGCGAAGAGGTGGAGCAGGGGGATGGGGAGGGGAGAAGAGGAGTAGAAGGAGGAGGAAGGGGATGGGTAGGCGGATAAGGAAAAGGAGGAGGGGGGAGGAGGAGGAGGAGGAGGAGGAGGAGGAGGAGGAGGAGGAGGAGGAGGATGAGGAGGAGGAGTAGGAGGAGGAGGAGGAGGAGGAGGAGGAGGATGCGGAGGAGGAGACGGAGGAGGAGTAGGAGAGGAGGAGGAGGAGGAGGAGAGAGGAGGAGGTGGATGAGGAGGAGGAGGAGGAGGCAGGAGGAGCGGATCGGTGGACCCTTCGCCGCCACGGCCAGACGCAGTCCGCAGAGTTTGCCGGCATGGTGCCCACGAGCAGCTCGAGGGAGGTTCTGCCAGTATGGAGGAGGACTGGAGGAGAAGACGGAGTGAGGAAGAAGGTCACCACCCACCAAACCACCCCAACCCAACCCGAAGGCCCAAATTTATCCTCGATTTCCAGTGGGGGGGGGTCGGGGAACGTTGAAAAAACACGTGGTATCCGTACCCCCCCCAACCCGAAATTCGGGTCAAATTCGGGTCTTCGGGTTGGGTTGGGGTGGTCTGGTAGGTAGTCAGAAGGAGATAGAAGCTGAGGAAGAGAAGGAGGAAGGAGGAGGAGGAGCAGAAGGAGGAGAAGGAGGGGGAGGATCAAGAGAGGCATCGTCATCTCTCAACAAATCATAGAGTACGAATAGATGTCTGGTTCCAACTCTGGAAGCAGACCGAGTTCACAAGGCGATCGCTTCTTCTGCGGCTTCTGCTCTGCCTCCCTGCCTTTGGTCCCTCTCCCTCACGCCCTCGCTCCCTCTCTCCCTGCGATCCTCCCCTCCGCTCGTCTTTTCCCTTTGTTCCTGCGCGCAGATCGACCTCCCTGCCTCCCTGCCTCCCTCCCTCCCTCCCTCCCTGCTTCACTGTCTTGTGCATGCCCCTGGCACCTTCAGGTTTTCTCGGAAGTCGAAATCTTCCCACTCATCCTGTTGCTGCTGCTGCTGCCCCCTCCTCCTCCATTCTCCCCATCTCTCCCCCTCACCGCATAATTTTTGTGTTCTCGAACAATTGCGTCCAATTGGCCGCTGGCAGTGTGAGGCACTGCCGCGCCTCGTTTTGCATGTCCGGCAGGCTGCCGCCACTCCGAAGCCTCAGAGGGGATGCAAAGGAGGGGCGGGGGAGAGGAGAAGGATAAGGACTAGGTGAATGTTTGGGAGTGTAGATCCTTCCTCCTCCTCCTCCTCCTCACGATGACGACGACGACGACGACGACGACGACGACGACGACGACGACGACGACGACGACGACGACGACGACGACTACTACTACTACTGCTACTACTGCTGCTACGACTGCTACTTACTATTATTACTCTCATTATAACTATGACAGTTACTACTGCTACTGCTACAGCTATTGCTGCTGGCACAACTACTACTACGAGGCGACTACTACTACTACTACTACTACTACTACGACTACTACTACGACTACTAGTACTACTACTACTACTAATAATAATAATACTACTGCTAATACTACTACTACTACTCTTGCTACTACTACTACTACTACTACTATGACTACTACTACTACTGCTACTACTACTACTACTACTACTACTACTACTACTCCACTAATACTACCAGTAGTAGTAGTAGTAGTAGTTGTATTAGTAGTAGTATAGTGTAGTGGTAGTGGTAGTTGTAGTTAGTTGTGTAGTAGTAGTAGTAGTTAGTAGTAGTAGTAGTAGTAGTAGTGTAGTAGTAGTAGTGGTTGTAGTCGTGGAGTAGTGTATCTACAAATTTTACTAACGACTCTAAACAATACTACTACGACGAAACTATACTACAATACTACTATACCACTACTTCTACTTGCTACTACTATACTACTACTTCTACTTCTACTTCCTCTTTACTACTTACTACTCTACTACTAGTACTACTACTTAAAACTACTTACTACTACTACTACAGTACTACTACTGGGCCTCTACTACTACTATTACGACTTCGATGATGGCACTACAACTACTATACTTCTACTACTACATACTACTACTATACTACTACGACTTACTACTACTACTTCTGCCCCTCCTAAGGCCACTGCCACTACACTGCTACTGCCACTGCTATGCTACTGCTAATGCTGGTACTTTAACTACTCTTAATTACACTTTATACTACTTATATTACTACTAATTACTACTATTGCCACTACTCCTGCTTAACTATACTTATGACGAAACTAAACCACTACTACTACTACTACCACCACTACTACTACTACTACTACTACTACTACTACTACTACTACTACTACTACTACGACTACTACTACTACTACTACTACAACTACTACTACTACTACTACTACTGCTGCTGCTGCTGCTGCTGCTGCTGCTACTACTACTACTACTACTACTGCTACTACTGCTACTACTGCTGCTACTACTACTACTTCGAGTGCTACGGCTACTACTACTACTGCTACTACTACTGCTGCTACTACTGCTACTACTACTCCGAGCTTAAGGCCATTGAAGTTTGCAGCCTATCGTGGGTCGAAGATAACGTCTGCCTCAACCTCACAGTTGATACGAATCCAAAGGCGGCACAGCCCGCTCCCCCGACACGAGTGCGATCATTTCGTCATCTCTGGCATCCGCCAAGGTCACATGTTGCAACTGTTGAGCGAACGAGCGCTATAAAACAAGATGGGGAGATCATACTCATACGGTTCTCTCTGATCGTTGTCGCACACCTGTGCGTGTCTGCCCTGACATTTCCACCCGCCCACATTCCTGAGCTCACAAGCAAGAAAGGGAAGGTGCACCCCAACCGTCCCCCCAGGCTTCCATTCAAGGCCTCCTGTGATGGCGCAGGTCTCGATGTGGTGCACGTGTTCTCTTTAGTGAGAAGGCCACCTATGCCTGGCAGAGTCCTCCACCCCATCCCCGTGCCGAGCCTCTGGGGGCCCACGGGAGCCCAAGGGGCCTTCGCAACCCAAGCCGCACAAGCCAAGACCCCAGCCCCTCTGATCATAGAGTTTTCTTCCGCAACCACCTCCTTCTCCTTGGAGTTCATTTGGACATTGCCCCATGGTTCCACGGCAGTCCTGAGAGGCCGATCCGAAAAACTTGAGTCCCACGAACTTCTGGAAGAAAAACAATGCCTGCCGCGACTTTGCCTTCCAGAATCCTGCTGGACCAGAGGGCGGTGACCCTTGTGTGCCACGGTTGAGAATCCAACTGAACTCGGACACGGTGGGCAGACTGCTCGCTCCTGGCCTGCTCCATGACGCTGAGAAAATCAAGCGAGTGCCTCTGGCTGAGACCAAGACAGACACACGGATCGGCGCGAACTTGGGCAGGCCTCGGAACAGGCGCTATACTGCTGTCAACACTCATGCACACAGCAGGGGCTTCAACTGCTCCCTTGGCCAGCTCGGGACCCCTCAGATCCACCAGAGGCCCAATCAACCGGAAGACAGCCTTCTCACCTACATGTTCTTGCTTTCCTCACGTCTTGTTCAGAGCTTGCTGTCTAAGACTAAGCGCCCTTTCCTCCTCCACCCTCTCCTTATAAACGTGCATGCCACGCAGCATTGCACCTGCTGCTTCAGGTGTTTCAATAAGCGTCCTCTGGTGTGAAACTCATCCATGCATACCAGACAGCATGTGCCAGTGATCCAGTTGTCTGGGTCGAGGGCACTCTCATGACATTTTCCCTTGTGGATGTTAAGCCCTCGGACCGAAGGGGCAGAGTCACCACACTCGTAGCAGACAAACACCGTTTTGTGACCCGCCGTCCCCTCCTCACCGTCCTTCATCCCGCTGGTGGCCTGGACTCCCAGCTCCTTGCACTCATGCAACAACTCTTTGGTGAGTTGGTCTTGCTGCTGCCTATAAAGCTCCCTCCAGGCCCCCTCGGAAATACGGTTTCTGAAGGTCCTGGGTTCAAACCTCGCTAGTGCAAGCCAGTGGCCATCCTCACCCGAGCCAGGCACGTCTTTCCTGCTTATGACCTGGTTCAGCCACTTGAAATCTCCCCTGACCACTCCTACCCAACTGGGCCCGACGTCCCAAAGGTGATCAAGGACAACTCTGAGCCCCGATGGAGCGTTGAACAAAAGTCACGTGAGATACCCGAGCCTGGCCACTGCGAGAACGGCGCGATGCCCCAATCTACCCACCCGGAGAAGCACAGACTTGTGCGACTCGTGTGTCTCTTCATTACCAGCCAGCGGCATGCCCAAGGTAGCTCTATATCCTGCAGCCTGAGCAGCGGAGAGAGCCGTGTGGTATTTCTGGGTGAAATTCTCCCACGCGCAACCATTAAACCACAGCTCAGGCATGGCATGAGCGTCCGTGTGCTTGGCCTTGACGGCCACCGATAACCCATTACGCGCCCCCAAGGCAACTTGGATGGGTCGAAGCTCCTTTCGCATGCTACCAATCCTGCTCGAGATCTGGACACCAGGCGGCAAGTCCTGGGAGAGCATAGTTCCAAGCCCTTTTTTTGACTGACCACTTCCACGTGGAGTCCATGTTTGTGGAGATCGCCTTGACGAAGCACCTTCCTCCTGGGCAAGCTCTTGTTTAACCTTTTTAGAGTAGCTCCCCAGGAACAACAGGAACAGATATGTCTTGCTGGCGTTGAGTCTGAGTCCGAACCTAGAAACGGCCTCGTAAACAATGTCCATCATCATGCTTGGGCGATGTTCGGCCTGTCTGGGGTCTTTGATATAACAGCAATCGGCGTGAGGTCATCTACAAAGAACACCGATTCGTTGTAATGTTGTCAGTCCCCTGGCTTCGCAAACTGGCAGGGCTTCTGTTCGGGACTCCAAGCTAGCTCATGAGTTTCCATACGTCGCTCGATTTCGGTGGTGATTGGTTCAAAGGCAATGTTGAACGCATTTGTCGGAAAGATCGTGCCAGGTTTGGTTCCGAGCACGGGTCTCACATATGATGATGCGCTCTCAACTCTCCACCACCCTCCCGCCTGAGTCTCCCTGGCCAACTCTCTGAGTTGAGCGTCCTCGAGGCAGCTGTCAAGCGTGGGGGTGCCTTGCAAAGCGCTCGTGGCAGGAAAACAAGATCCTCGGGTATGTCACCACCTCTCATGGCTTCAATCATATCGAGCTTCTCTCCTGGGAGCTGTAACATGAGCTGCGTCGCTACACTGTAAATGCAGCCGGGAGACTAATTCTGGAGCTCTGAGCCTAGTTCTCACGAGGTTTGTCGCAACATCCGTGATTCTCCCTTTCGTCCCCCCCGCATGTGGGTGTCGTTTAGAAAGAGACTCCTCCTCCTCCTCCTCCTCTTGGTCCTCCTGTTGATCTCCCTCCCCTGGAGGATGGGAGGAGGGATGGAGGGAGGCTCGGAGGGAAGAATATTAGCAGGAGGTGGAAGATGAGGACGACGAGGAGGAGGGAGGAGGAGGGAGGAGGAGGAGGAGGAGGAGGAGGGAGGAGGAGGAGGGAGGAGGATGGTGGAGGAGTAGGAGGAGGAGGAGGAGGAGGAGGAGGAGGAGGAGGAGGAGGAGGAGGAGGAAGGAGGAAGGGAGGAGGAGGAGCAGGAGGAGGAGAAGGAGGAGGAGGAGGAGGAGTTGGAGTTCGAGTAGGAGGAGGAGGCTCAGGAGGAGGAGGAGGAGGAGGAGGAGGAATTGGAGGAGGATGAGGATGAGGAGGAGACAGAATATGATGAGCTGTGTGATTTGGATGATGAGCTTTGTGATCGTCGTGAAAGGATGCTGAACAAAAGAGCCTGCACAGGAAGCGGTGTGAGACCGACGACTGTAATCACAGTTGCCCTTTGATGAAGAGGAAAGGGGGTGTATGGGGGTGGATGCTGGTGGTTACGGCTGGCAGGGACGGTGAGGGGAGGGTAATGGGCGAGTCAAGAGTCAGTATCGTTTACCATATCCCCATCCCCACCATCCCACCATCCCACCACCCTAGTTGGGGATAGGCCCCTCGAAACCCGAAGGGATCAGCCTCTGGGGGTGGTACATCGGCCAGTAGGGTCCAGGCCACGCCAGTGGGGACAGATCGGTTGAACGATACCCAATGAGGTGAGAGCTTTCGCGTCTCGCTCCGGCTTCTCAACATAAAAAAGGGCCTGATGGGTGCGGGAATGGGTTGACGAACGGCGGGGAGAAGGACGGGAGCGAGACAGGGCCCAGCCCCAAAGGGGAAAGTTGCAAGCTGTCCCTCACCAGCCTCGAACGTATCCCTATCCCTAAGATTGACGCGCCCAAATGCGATGACAATCTTAGGGATGCGCCCTGAAAAACTAAGGGCATCCCCAAGATTGGCATCGTGTTGAGGCGATGCCCAGCTTAGGGATAGGGTATGTTCCAGGCTGGTAAGTCCCACTCAATCGCGCCCGCCCTCCCAGCACTTCAGTAGCACCCGATGTTCATTGCAGGTGGCGTTCGCCATCTGACAGGCAGCCACTGGCCACAGACATGGACGCCGTGCGCGCCGCGCGCGTGAGCTGCGCCGCGCATGTTCGGGGGTTTGCGCCACACACGCGAGCTGCGCTCCAGGTGCGCCACAAGCGCGACGGGCGCCTGGTGCGCCAGGTCCCCGACCAGAACAGTGCAAAGTGACGGCGGCGTGGTTCGTGTAACAGGGGGGGGGTTCGTTGAAGCATTACGAAGGTCGTTCTAACTCTAACGTGGGTCGTGTAAGCACTAGTGTAAAGATCCCAGGGGCACTATGGGAGCCCCTCTCCTACTTCTGTTCTCCCTCATCGGAAACCTCATCCTGAGTTCTGAGGTCTATTCGGCGGCGCGCGCAAGGGGAAGGCGCGAGGTGGTGGCCTCCCAAGAAGCCAGGAGCGCTTCTTAGACGGCAGGGGCCTTCTCAGAAGCGCCCCGGGGCTTCTCAGGAGGCTTCTGAGAAGCCTCTGGGCGGTTTTAAGAAGGTCTCTGCCCTCTAAGAAGCTCCCCTGCACCCCCCTCGCGCCATCCCCTTGAGCGCGCCGCCAGTCAATGGCGTGTGTACCCTCAGTCAGTTTGCATGTGCTCTTGGCAGGGACGGGCAAGCGCACAGCGGACAGCGGAGTCGTCCCCCACCGTCGGTTTGAAAGGCACATGCGAGGTGACGGTGTGGTGCCCGCACCTGGCCCCATTTCTGCTGCCGTGTGCGCGTAATTCTGTTCTTCTTGCGGGTGGTCTTGGCATCGTTCGGACGTGTGCATTTTTTCTCGGCGAAGACCATCGAGGAGCATCCTTGATCATTTGGCGAAAAAAACACGCACGAAACCCCAAAAAACACAGAGAATGGACGTCCGAGCGATGGCCAGTGGTGTGGGGTGCCCGCATGGGCCCTGCACGGGTGGTGAGGAGCGTGTGCCTGTCAACCGGATGTGACCTTTGGCCGGCCCGCGCGCGTCTCTCCGCCCGACCCGTGCTTCTCTCCGCGCCGCTGCGCGCCTTGGCCGCGACGCCCAAGAGTGCGTGTGCATCGATTGGCCAGCCCGACGGTCTTGTGACTCTGAAGAGAGAGAGAGAGAGAGAGCGGGGGAGGCAGAGAGAGGGAGAGAGAGGGAGACGGCTGCCTCGCCCAAACAGTCATTCTGCTTGCTTCGTCTCCGCGATCTGGCCGCGAGCGTGCCTGTGATCACATCCTGGTCGGCTCCCCCTTGGGGTGCCCAAGCGCCATGCCAGCTGCATCGCGAGGATATGAGGTTCTGAAAAGAGACACGTCTACCCCGCCAAAGCGGACATCCCACCTGAGACGTCCCCACATTCAGCCGCGAGTGGGCTTTTGACATCACCCTGGTCGGCTTCCCCTCGGGGTGCCCAAATGTCATGCCCGCTGTACGATTGTGATATTGAGGTTCAAGAGGAAGAGAGAGACACACATATATGTATATATATGTGTATATATATATATAGAGAGAGAGAGAGAGAGAGAGAGAGAGAGAGAGAGAGAGACAGAGAGAGAGAGAGAGAGCGAGAAATTAGGTCGTGTCGCGCGGCTGTCCCAGGCAACGTTCACCCAGTTCCTCGCCAGGTGGACGTACCTCCATTTTTTGATGTCTTGGAACTCCCGGGAGGAGCGCCGGACGGGCAGCACGCTGCCCCATGGGCGCCTCGGCAGGCCCGCGCGCCTCCGCGAAGCGCGTGGCGCAGGCCGAGGGGCTTGTGCGCGCACTCCGGGAGCAGTGCTTCGCACGCCTCTCGCCCAGCCGTCGCACCGCGCAGCGTGGACACTACTCGACACTCGACAAGGTCTTCAACAGAGCCCTGGACTACGACGCCCGCATTCTTCATCCAGCGCCTTCCCCCAACCTTGCGGAGCGATTGGACGCCGCTGTGTTGAGTACACACTGTTCATGTTTCATTCTTCGAAAGTTGTTTGAGTTTTTGGGGGCCAAGATCCTTGCATTTCTAATTGTTCTATCCTGGGCCTCTTCCTGGCCACTTGGGGGCCAGGAACAATTAGAAACGAACGCAATTAGAAATGAGCACGATTAGAAATGAACGACGTGTACTGCTTGTCGGCTCGCTCGCGTTGATGGCCTCGGGGCTGTGAAGGACTGGTGCTTACGGCTATCTCCGCAGCGTGGTGGGTGTGATCTGATCAGCGCGATGTGGAAGGCGCTCTTCTCCCATCTCGCCGGGGGCGCGCCAGTTTTTGCCTGCTGTTGCCCAGCGGTTGCTCAACTTCGGTTTTGGCTAGTCTGCTATCGGCGCGGTCGTGGACACAGATCGCGCCACCTCCTGCCTGGACGTGCTCTGCGGGCATTCTGTCCATACGACGGGGTCGTGGTCACCGGGGCGTCGCCGACCACCAGCATCCTTGCCGGGGCGCTGCTCTGGGGTCAAGCTCGCAAAGTGCACCATGCCCATGCCTTGCAGGACGTATTCGAATTTGCGTCCCACGCTGCCCTGCGAGTCCGCCTGTCTGGCCCCAAGCGAGATCTTGTGCGACTTTCGAGCTGCGCGGGACGTGGTGTCCAGCAGGTGGCTCACGCAGTTCCCCGAATCGTGGTGGCCGCAGGTCGGTGATCACAGTGAGTTTTGTTTGTTTCCTCCCCAGGGTAACGCCCGTTATACGGGCCCCTCCCTAACGCTAGCTATCGTATTGGTGTGTGTGTGTGTGTATGTCGTGGACATCCCCCGTACATGCTGTGGTGCACACAGGCGATTGATGCGCCGGGCTCCCGCCCGGCCCACCCGGGAACGACAGTTACCTGGGAACGAAGAAACGGCCACACAAGTTCTTCATGGTTCTCGAATGTACATTCGGCCTGCCACGGCATCCCGCTGGTTTACAGTACGCGCACCTGCTGCCGACTCGCTGGCGCGCCAATTGGCGCACGCAGATCAGCGTCCAGCTGGCCATCTGCGGGGCGCGGGCGGTGCTGGACGCGCTGCTGTTCGGCGCGAAGCCTGTCGGCGCGCAGCGGCGCAGGCCGCAGGCCGGGTGGGTCACTTCTTTCTCCCAGCCCCCCTCCCCGCCTTTTCCTGTGGTGAGCAGCGTGGCTTGACTGACGGTGGCTATGTGGCGACAGGGAGGGAAAAAGAGAGGGACATAAATAAATAGCATGAACATTCTTGTATAGATAACGCGTACACATATCAGTGTATGTATGTATGTATGTAGGTAGGTAGGCCGGCACGTAGGTCAGTGGGTAGGCAGGTCGATAGGTAGGTAAGTATGTATGCATGTAGGTATGTATGCATGTATGTATGTATACATGTATGTCTGTATGTACGTATGTATATATCTGTATGTATGTATGTATGTATGTATTTTTGTAATGTATGTATGTATGTATGTATGTATGTATGTATGCATGCATGCATGTATGCATGTATGTATGTATGTATGTATGTATGTATGTATGTATATATGTATGTATATGTATGCATGTACTGTATGGAATATAGGTGTGTATGTATGTATGTATGTATGTATGTATGTGTATGTATGTATATATGTAGGTATGTATGTATGTATGTATGTATGTATGTATGTATGTATATGCGTATGTATATATGTAAGTATGTGTGTATGCATGTGTATATCTATGCGCATGTATGATTGTATGTATGCATGCATGTCTGTATGTATGCAGGCATGTATGTATGTATATATGTATATATATATATATGTATATATATATATATATGTATGTATGTGTGTATGTATGTATGCATGCATGCATGCATGTATACATGCATGTGTGTTTGTTTGTTTGTGTGTGTGTGTTTGTTTGTTTGTTTGTATGTTTGTATGCTTGTATGCTTGTGTGCATATATGTATTTGTGTATGTATGTATGCATGCCCGCATGCATGCATGCGTGTATGTATGTATGTATGTATGTTTGTATGTATGTATGTATGTATGTATGTATGTATGCTTGCATGCATGCATGCGTGCATGCATGCATGTATGTATTTATGTCTGTCTGTCTGTCTGTCTGTCTGTCTGTCTGTCTGTCTGTCTGTATGTATGTATGTATGTATGTATGTATGTGTATATGTATGTATGTATGTATGTATGTTTGTATGTATGTATGTATGTATGTATGTATGTATGTATGTATGTATATATGTATGTATATGTACATATATATATATATATATCTATTGATATAGCACGTCAACATCGCCGTGCCTGCGTCGAGCTTGCTGCCGCTGGCCCTCTCGCGCGGGCTCGCCGCGAGCCACCAGCGGCAGCGACGCTGCACCGTCGTGGTGAGCTGGCGGCGGCCCGCGGGGCAACGCTGGCCGTGCACGCGGCTGCAGGCCTGGGGCGGGGCTTGGTAGCCATGCGGCTGCTGCGCTCTGCGGAGGGCCTCTGCAGGGCTGCGGCGGCGGCGGGTCGAGGCCGAGCTTCGGGCAGGCCCGAGTGCAGCCGTTCGTGGCACTGGAGGTGGCGCAGAGCCGCCTGCGGCTCCCACGGCGGCCACGCCTGGCGGCTCTCAGTCACGGCGGAGGAGGCGACGTGATCCGGCGACGAGCCCGAGGAGCGCAGGCTGCGACTGCTGCGAAGCACCCACCTGGCGCTGGCGGCGTGGAGGCGGAGGCGTGTAGCAGCCTCAAAGACGACGCCTGGGCGATGGTTCGATGTCTTGGCTGCCCTGATACGCCCGTTGTGAAATGCAGCGCGCAGCGTTGGCATCGGCTGGCGGCCCCGGGCGGGAGGCGCGGAGTCTCGCCGCGCGGCGACGCCGAGATGCTCCTAGAGGCGGCGGGGGCCCTGCCGCTCCAACGGCCGCGGGCCCGACGGCGCCCAGGGCGAGCCTCCCTGGCTCGGGGCGCCGGGCTGGGCGATGCCGCGCCCCAGCTGCTGCCGCTGGCGGTGGCTTCTGGCTGCGGGCCCCTGGGCGCCGGGTGGGGCGCAGGGCCAGGAGCCGCCCCGCTGGCCGAGGCGGCCCCGCCAGGAGCAGGGGTGCTCGGCAGCAAGTCGTGGGAGCCTGGCGTTCCGTCCTTGGCGTCGGCTGGCGTCGAGGCGCGTCGACCCAGCGTCGGCTGGCGTCGATGCAGCGTCGACCAGCGCCGCTGTCGCAAGAGCCGACAAGAGGGTATGGGAGGCTCCCGTGCGCTGCCGCCGAAGGGGTGCGCGGCTCCCGCCCGCCGCCCGCCAGGGGCAGCACGGCGGCGGCGCTCTGGCTGCGCCCTCGAGAGCCGCTGCCCGCCGCCGCCGCCTCCGGCTCCGGGGGCCTCTCGGGCCGAGGCCGCCTCCTCCTCCTCCTCCCCCTCCTCCCCCTCGTCCTCCTCCTCCTCCTCCTCCTCCTCCTCCTCCGCCTCCTCCCCCTCCTCTCCTCCTCCCCCCCTCCCTCCTCCGCCTCCTCCTCCTCCTCCTCCTCCTCCTCCTCCTCCTCTCCTCCTCCTCCTCCTCCTCCTCCTCCTCCTCCTCCTCCTCCCTCCTCCCCCCTCCCCTCCTCCTCCCCCTCCTCCCCCTCCTCCGCCTCCGCCTCCGCCGCTGCGGCCGCCGCGGCCTCTGCTCCGGGCGCGCCGCCGAGCTCGGCGCGAGGTGCCAGCGGGAGAGGCTGGGCCGCCGCCGAGCTCGGCGGAGCTCCGCGGCGGCCGCCGCGGGCCGTGGCCGCCGAGGGCGGCGGGGCGGCCTCTGCGGGCCGCGGCCGTCGAGAGGCGCGCGCGCGGAGGCGAGGCGGGTGGCGCCGCTCGTGGGTCCCCCGCTGGGGCCTGTCGGGCGGCGCGCGTGTGTGCGCAGGACGGGAGGAGAGAGAAAGAGAGAGAGTGAAGGTGAGATGCGCAGAGACAGAGGGAGCGGGGGGTAGAGAGAGAGAGAGAGAGAGAGAGGAAGAGAGATGGAGATGGGTACACACATATACATGTATGTGTATATATATATGTGTATATATATATATACAAATTCATGTATGTAGTTATATGTATATGTATATGTATATATATATATAAGTATTTACATGTACAGTTATCCGCATGTATATGTATATGCATGTGTGTATATGTTTATGGTTGTATCTATGTATGTATATATATATTTATAGAGAGAGGGATACACAATAAGAGAGAGAGAGAGAGAACAACACACAATATATAATAGTAGCCTGAGAGAGAGGGATAGAGAGAGAGAGAGAAGGAGAGAGAGAGAGAGAGAGAGGGAGAGAGAGATCGAGAGACGTCTGCATCGCCAACGTGACCATTCTAAGTGAGAGGTCCCCATCATCTGGCCACGACCGGGCCCGTGATACCACCTCAGTCGGCTCCCACTTGGACCGCCCAAGTGCCATGCCGACTGCGTCGCGATTATGCTGGGGCTCTGAAGATAGACGCGTCTGCCCCGCCAGAGCGGCCGTTTTTTGGGGGGGGGAGACGCCCGCGCAGCGTGTGCGCGAGCGGGCCCGTGGTCACGCCGTGGCCGGCTCCCGCTCTTGCCCGCGTGTGAGCGGGTCTGGATCGAGCTGACTTTGGCCCGGCTAAGCGTCGGTGGGTCTATGATTGTGGAGGGCGATCAATGGAGAGGAAGCATGTTGCCAAATAGTTTCCAGATGTCTAAAAAATGTGTTAAACATGTAATACACATGTAGAACACATGTTTGAAACATGGTTAGAACATGTTTCCCACATTTTAAGCACGTTTTAAATTCAATGACAGGACTGTTAGGGTGTCCATTGTCGTGGCATCCGCAAGTCTATGATATGCGTGAATCCGAGGGTGAGTGGGTCTGACCGTGAGTGAGTTTGATCGTGAGTGAATCTGAGAATTGGTGGTCTGGGTCTGAGTGGCTGCGAGCATGACTTGGTACGAGTATGAGTGGGTGTGGGTGAGAGTAGGTAGGAGTGTCAAGTGCGCCAGGTCGAAGGGTCCATGATGGCACAACGTGGTACTCGGCCTGGAGCGCGCTCCCGCGCGGCGAGAGCACCATTTGGTCCTCTCTCGGGTGGCCAATCTTCCGATGCATCCGGCGGTGGCGACGTGTGCGTTGCGCAGAAGCACCACCGCCACTTCCACTCACAAGCTGCGCGGCGGCTGGGCGAGGACAGCACGTCGCCCACTCTCGCGAGGCCCCGCTGCCGCCGGCGCGCCCACGCGATTCGGCGGGCAGAACACCATCTTGGGCCTTCTGCGCGCCCTCCTGGCGCGCTCTTCAGCCGTTCACGACTCCTCCAAAGGGTCCCGAGAAACCGTGCCGCGGGACCAACATGAGTTTGCAAGTGCGTGGAATCGAATCATCGGAGGAGGACCACTGCACAGATCGACCCCGTGGCCTCTCGACCTCTCCCAGGAAGGAGGAGCACAATCAGAGGAGGGGGGGGAGGAGGGGGAAGGATGAGGAAAGAGGTGGGCCTGTATAGCCGTTAGGGTAGGATCAGGTAGGATGGGAGGGACGGGCGGATTGCGGCAGGTGTTGAAGGGGCTCTGCGGCAGGTGGCAGGGCCCCGCGGATTCTGTACCCTCCTGCTGCAACGACCAGCTGGTAGAACAATTCGTGCTCTTCGGCTGGGAAGTGACCTTCTGCAGGCGGCACGGCTGCAAGTAGGGCCTCGGTGCTTTCTAAGAACTCCTGTGGCCCCATCGCGCCGGATAGGGAGGATGGAGTTCCCGCGGCCACCGTCGCTCCCTACCCTACCTCATTGCAGCCTGTGTGACCTCCATCCTTCTTTCTTCATCTCTCTCTCTCTCTCTCTCTCCCTCTCTTTTTCTATCCATTTCTCTCGCTATCTGTAGGTTTTCCCTGCTCTCTCCCTTTCTCTTTCTTCATCTCTCTCTCTATTTCCTTCCTTTCTCCCTCTCTCTCATTTGCCATCTTCTTCTTCTTTCTCGCCCTCCCTCTCGATTAGTTGCTCTCCTCTGTCTCTTTTTCTCTCCCTGTCTCTATCTCTCTACATCTTTCCTTTTTTGTCTCTGACTCTCTGGCCTTCCCTCTCTTTCTCTCCTTCTTCCTCTCGGTCCTATTACCTCTAGCTCTCTCCAACCCTCTCTTTAAGCCTCTTTTGCAAGCCTGGTGGGGAGGCTGGCACCAAGCAGCCAAGGGGGGGTGGCAGGAGAGGGAGGTGGAAGGAAGACGCGCCAACTGAATCGGTAAAGCTCTTGCACACTCGCTCTCGTTTCGTCGCCGTAGCTCGTACTCCTCCCACCTCCTTCTCTCCCCCCCTCCCTCCTCCTCCTCCTCCTCCTTCTCCTCCTCCTCCTCCTCCTCCTCCTCCTCCTTCTCCTCCTCCTCCTCCTCCTCCTCCTCCTCCTCCTCCTCCTCCTCCTCCTCCCCCTCAAGAGGGGACAACAACACATAGGCACAATTAATCGTCGATTCCCCCGAAAATGTCGGAAAATATAGGAAATGGGGGGGAATACAAAAACTCACAAAATAAGAGGAACGTATGGGGAGTCTTGCTATTTGTGTGTGTGTGTGTCTATTTGTGTGTCCTAGGGCCCCTCTTCCCCCGTCCATCGTCCAGAGAGCGGCGCGGACGCCTTGTGGCTCATTGGCCCTTGCAGGCCGTGCTGTGTCCCGAGGAGCTGGCGGCGGCCTTCCGATACGACCTCGGCGTGCTGTGCGGCTCAGCGCACAGAGCCTCCAGGCGATGAGAGCGCGGCCGAGCGTCCGAGCCTGCGTCCGACCGACCTGCTCCCTCCATCCGACGTCGATCCGTAGCGCGGGCGATTCCAGCAAGCAGAGGTCCCGCGCGCCCTCGGCGGGCGGTCTCCCGCGGAACGCGAGCGGAGGCGGGCCAGCCGGAGTCGGAGGAGGTGATCTCTGACAGAGCCAGGTGGTCGCCATGTTGCAGCATCCCGACAGGCGGGTTGACGTGCCTCGCCGTCAGCCTCTCAGTTCCTTCAAGCTTCACCCGGCGTTTCGTCATCGTTGCCGTTGCTCTTCTTCCTTCGCCCTCCTCCCCTTTCTCCTTCCTTCTTTCATGGGGTATCAGAACTGTTTGTTGTGCGGGCGATGGGATGTATCTGATCCAGGAGCAGCACAGAGCGCAGTGCAATACTTCGAAAAGTGCCACGGGTGGCTAAACGTGACTACATTCAGAAGGGGGAAAAACACACAGACACAATTAATCGTCGACTCCCCAGAAAATATGGGAAAATCTGGGAAGGGGGGGGGAAGACAGAAGCCCAGAAAATATGGGAAAATATGGGGAATCTTTTTATTTGTGTGTATTTATTTGTGTGTCCCAGGGCCCCTTCATACATCCATGTCACGCAGTCGGTGCGCCAGAGCACTGCAGAAGCGGTATACTCAAGTCTACGACAGAAGCAGACTTGATACGTCCTGCAGTGCAGCCGGTCCTTCCGAACTGGTGTTTCGTCGAGAGTGTGAGTGTCACGGGGCCCTGGCGAGGGTGACGTCCACGGGGACCTTTACGGGGTCCCTGCAGCCCATCCCGTGCGAAGTCTCGGGCGCTGCCACTGCTCGCGCAGCCTGCCTCGCCGCTTCTCAGGGAAGGGGCACACCTGGGCAGCAGCTAAGTTCTGGGCACCACTCTTAGACCTGTCTGCGATGGTCAATCCTCCCGTCAACCTGTCAGGTGGGGGTGCACTCCAGTTTTCTGGGTGCGCCACCTCCAGGCAAACACCACTCTGCGCGAAGCTATCCAGCTGCCTGCGACAAGTCCGGTCACCGTGCCAGCCCAGCATTCTGGGTGGCGACTGTTCGAGGGGGCACGGGAGGCCGTCACCTGCGACACTTCGTGTCTCCAGGCTAGTGGGAGCCGTGATGGCGATGGTGATGGATGGGTGAGGATGAGGATGATGATGATGATGCTGCTGATGGTGATGGTGATGATGATGACGTCGATATTGCTGCTGATGCTGATCATCAGATGGTGATTCTGATGATGGTGATGATGATAATACTGAGGATGATGATGAAGAGGAGGATACTTATGATGATGATGCTGATGCTGATGCTGATGATGCTGATGATGACGACGATGGTGATGATGATGATGATGATGATGATGGTGATGATGATGGTGATGGTGATGGCGATGGCGATGATGCTTGTGCTGATGCTGCTGCTGCTGATGATGATGATGCGCTGCTGATGATGTTGTTGATGATGATGACGTCGATGGTAATGTTGGCTGTGTTTCTGCTGATAATGCTGCTGATGATGGTGATGCTGATGACGAAGATTATGCTGCTGCTGATGATGATGCTGATGATGATGCTGATGCTGATGATGCTTATGCTGCTGATGATGATGACGACAACGACGACGACGATCACGACGACGATGATGATTATATGCTGATGATGCTGCTGATGATGATGAGGATGAGGATGACTATGATGATGAGGATGATGATGATGACGGAGATGCTGATGGGGATGATGATGCTGATGCTGATGATGTTGATGATGATGATGATGATGACGTTGATGATATTGATGATGCTGATGCTGCTGATGAAGATGCTGCTGATGCTGCTGATGCTGCTGGTGATGATGATGGTGATGATGCTAACGATGATGATCATCATCATGATGCTGATGCTGATGCTGATGCTGATTATGATGATGATCGTGGTGGTGGTGGTGGATGATGATGGTGATGATGCCGCTGCTGCTGATGATGATGTGGAGGAGGAGGAGGAGGAGGAGGAGGAGGAGGAGGAGGAGGAGGAGGATTACGATGAGGATGAAGGTCAGGAGGAGGAATAGGAGGAGGAGGTGGAGGAAGACTACGGCCGTCACATGTACACCTCTTGTCTTCATTATTTGAGGAGCTGTCATGAAACTCGTTTGGCCGTCTTGGGACTGTCTTGGTCTCCTGTGAGGCAGTCTTGGGGGTCCTTTGGGTCCCTCATGGGCCGTCTCGGGGCCCTCTCGGGCCGTCTTGGGGCTCTCTTGAGCAGTCTTGGGGCCCTCTTTGACGTATGGCGGGTGTCTGGGGGCCGTCGAGGGGCCGTCTTGACACTGTCTTGGGCAGTCGAAGGGCCTTGTAAGGCCGTCTTGGGGTTGTCTTGGATGCCTCTTGGGTCCTCGTGGGGCCCTCTTGGGCCACGTGGACCCTCGTGGAGGCCGCTTGGGCTGTTTTGGAGCCATCTTGGAGGCTTCTTCTTGGGCCGTCTTGAGCTGCCCGAAGCCCGAACAGGCGAGCATGCGAAAACCATTCAACAACCACAGGGCATCCACGAGGCGAAACGGAGGTCCTCTTGTGTCTTTGGTTGCCTGCATGGGCTGGCTTGGAAGCTCGTGGCGCAGATCCGCATTTTTCAACGAGGGATCCTGGCCTCGGGCGCAAAGGATCCTTTTGCAAAGGATCATGGCCTTAGGGGTGTGTGTGTGTGTGTGTGTGTGTGTACGCAGCACGACTGGTGTGGGGCGTGGGGTGACGAAATTTCTGGCACGCTCTCTGGTGGTCCTGTTGGTGCCTTTTTCTGCCCTGAAGGCCTCAAGACGGCCCACATGGTTCCCAAGACGAGCGGACCCGAAGACAGTCCAAGAGCGCTCCTAGAGAGCTCCTGATGCTGGCTTCGTCACAGCCCAAGGATTCCCAAGCGAGAGGCCCTCAAAATCACTCCAAATAGGTTCGGATGGGGCAAAACATGTAAGTTAACTTTTGGTCTTTGAAGGGTTTTTGGGTTCCCACCATTGCGGGCCAAGGATTGCTTAAGACGGGCCTGGGGGCCTCTGCGATCGCCCCCAGACGTCCCAAGGGGCTCCCGATGGGGCGCCAAAGCGGCCCACGAGGATTTCAAAACGGCCCAAGAGAGCCCCAAGTCGGCCCAAGGAGGGCCCAACAAAGCCCCAAGAGGTTCCCAGGATAGCCCCAAGGGGTCCGCAGGAGGCTCTCAAGCGTGCCCCATGCGGGACCCAAGCCGGCCGAAGTCTCCCAAGACGGTCCAAGAAGGCCCCGGGACGGCCCAAGAGGGCCCCCAAATGGCCCAAAAGACTTCAAGAGGCCCCCCAGAGGCCTTCAAGATGCTTCTAAGAAGCTTTCAAGAGGCCCACCGTGAGCGAACAGTGACATGAGAAAACACAGCAAGCCGGCCGAAGCTCCCAAGACGGTCCAAGAAGGCCCCGGGACGGCCCAAGAGGGCCCCGGGACGGCCCAAAAGGGCCCCCGAACGGCCCAAAACACCCCCAAGAGGCCCCCTGAGGCCCTCATGATGATTCCAAGAGCCTCTCAAGAGGCCCTCCGTGAGTGAGCAGTGACGTTAGAGACATCGTACGTCAAGGCTTCCAAGAGCGAGCGGTGACGTTAGTAGCTCTTAACTTCCAGGCTCCCAAGAGCGAACGGTGACGTCAGCAGCGCCACGCGAGGTCCCGGTCATGCTTGCCCGTGTACCGGTCGTGGTATTTCAATAAGGTCTTGGTGTCGATGTCCAAGAGGTCCGTTCGAGCATGCTGCTGTGTCCGGTCTTCGATCGAAACATCTAAAAATCCACTTCCGCCATGCCTCGAGGTGGAAATTGTCGACCTTTGCCTGTCGTCCGTTCTGATAGCCAGAACATCCCCTCCCATCTCGAAAATGAATGGGGAATCTGTCAGGATGCACCTCTCGCCAAGCACCCGCTGGGCGCGAGCCATGAACCGAGCGGTCCACGTGGCGTCATTGATGTGTGAATTGTTCCACGGCTCCGAAATCCAGATGTGTGAACCCAGCCATGACAGGCGCAGCCACCTCGAGCAGGACATGCTGCGCCTTTGCGAGCTGTGCCACGTTCCGGACACCACCGACCGCTACATATTTGTGGTGCTGCCTGACTGCCAGGCATGCCCGCGAGGCGAAGCGCCTTCCGCCCATCATATGCCAGGACCGTGGCTTCACGGACGACGAGCGTTTCATGCTCATGAGCAACGGGTGGCGCAGCATTGATGAGCCGCATGTGAGCTATGCTGCTCTGGCATTCTTGGCGTGAGCGCACGAAATCTACACAGCGAGCTGTCAGTTGCTGTTCAACGTCATGGGTACCAGGGTCCGGTAGGTTTTTCTCCATGTATGGACCGAGGGCACCGACATCCTGTTCCAGGCATAGATCGTTAACGGTGACGTCAAAAGCTCCTACCGCCAAGACCCCTGAGAGCGAACGGTGACGTGAAACAGCTCTTCACACCAAAGTTCCAAAGAGCGAGCTGTGATATGATATGAAACTAATGTTAACGCCATGTTCCCAAGAGCGGGCAAGTTCTTGAAGCGCCTGTTCCGTTCCCGTGCCAGCCCAGGTTCCGACGCGCTCACGTCGCGCAGGCACGGTAGCGGACCCTTTTTCAGCCCCTTCTCCTACACCTTCTCGTCGTCGTCCTCCTCCGTCTCCTCCTCCTCCTCCTCCTCCTCCTCCTCCTCCTCCTTTGTCTCCTCCTCCTCCTCTTCCTCCTCCTCGTCGTCCTCCTCCTCCTCCTCCTCCTCCTCCTCCTCCTCCTCCTCCTCCTCCTCCCCCTCCCCCTCTTCTGCTCCCCACCCAATGAATGATTCCTCTTGCCATGCACCCTTGCGGCGTCGGACCGCCGACGGCGCCTGCCAGTGAGGCCCCGGCGGCGCGCAGGAGGGCGTAGGTCTCAGAGGCGTGCTCGCCCCCAGAAGGTCGTCGAGGACCGCCCCCGGGGCGCCGAGGCGCTGCTGGGAGGCGCCGCGCCGCCTTCTCGCTCAGAGCCGGGCGGGCGCGAGCCGCCCTGCCCGGGCGAGCCCCGCCTTTTGGGCCCCTGGTGAGCTTCCGAGCGCCCGCCCTCCCCCCCCCCCTCCCTCCCTGCAGAACCCCACGGGCCCTGCGCCCCTGAGCCCCCTGGGGCCCTGCGCCCCTGAGCCCCGCGGGCGCCCGTCGTTCGCGGAAGCGGCAGGCCCTCTCGACCTGGGCCGTCTGGGGGCCCTCTCTGGGGGCCCCCGCGGGGCGCCCTTTGGGGCCTCCTTGGCCCGTCTGGGAGCGTCGGAGGCAGTGGGAGGAGGGAGCGCTAAAGCCTTTTGAGAACCCAGCAGGAAACTCATGACCTGGGTCCCGACGGAAAGAGCCATCTCGAGGGGACGATGGGTGGGCGCCAAGCTGGCGATGGCCCAACCCTGCCCAGACGAAGCCAGCTTTCGGGATCCCCGCGGGCTCGGGTGCCCCTTCCGCCTGGCGCCACGGTGCCTCACCGGGCGCTCTGTCCCTCTGGCAAGCTGGCAAGCATCCAATTCGCGCCGAAAAGACCGCCGCCCTCACTCGCCTGTCTGAGCATCCTGCATTGTGCCACCGCAGTCCGCGGACCTTGCCCAGTCTGAGAAAGTGGAACTGATGCGTCGTTTTCTAGTAGTGCGTGCTGTCCAACGTGTTAGATTTGCGTTATTTGCGTTGTGACGCTTCATGTGGCCAGGAAGCGCAGGGCGACAGCTTAATGCGGAGTTCCACAGCATCTTGTGAATCTCGATCTTTGGATGGGGTGGGCAGCGGTGGTGGTGGAGGTGGAACGAACGCACCTCTGAGATCTCACCCGTTCTCCCCGCCTTCCTCCTCCCCCGCCCTCCTTCTCCCGCTCCCCCCTCCCGCCTCTCGCTGAGCGCCAAAGCCGGGCGCCGGGGGCACGGGGCCGAAGGAAAGGAGTCGAAGGAGTTGGTGGCAGCGGAGGGCGAGCGCCAACCACCGAGGCCGGTCACGGTCGTGGGCGGGGCGGGGCGGAGGAGAGAGGCAGCAGCGGAGAGCAAACTGCGGGGCCAGTGACGGCACCCTGGCATCGCTCGGGCGTGTGTATTTTTTTGTTCGGCGGGGGCCATCGAGGACCATCCTGGACCATCGAGCAAGAAAAGCACGCACGAAAACGGAACATGCACGGGAAATGGGCGTCCGAGCGATACCGAGGCACGGGCCAGGGCCGAGCGGCAGAAGCTGGCGGCAGCGGAGTGCAAGCACCAGGGGACGGCCACGGAGAGCCGACGCTGTAGAAACATGTGGCATCGCAAAAAAATCACGACTGGAGCCTCGGACCCCATCTCTCTACGTCATTTTTCGAGCTGGATCGGTCTGTGAGGGTCCCGGGGCCCGAAATTGAGCGAGAACGCCCAGTGTAAAAATACTGCAGCGCCAGGATCTCAGGGGCCAGGGCCGAACGAAGGACATTGGCGGGTACAGAGGGCACGCGCGAGAGTTTGGGGGCAGTGGTGGGCGGGGCCGAGCGAAGGAGATCGTCGGCAGCGGAGGAGGGAGATCTGGGAGCTGGGGTCGGTTGGGCCCAGGACCAGGATACTTCATTCCCGAGCGTTCCGGGACGCTCTCACTGTGGAAGGCGATCAATGGAGAGGAGGCATGTGGCCAAACAGTTCCCAGACGTCTAAGACATGTTCCAAACATGTCTTCAAAGTGCTAAAGCATGCTTGAAGCAGTTTTCGAACATGCTTTACACGTGTAGAAGACATTCAAACAACATGTTTCGTTCAATGATAGAACGTTTCGAGTGCCCACTGTCATGGCATCCGCAGCGCTCTCAGAGCGTTTCGGGGCGCTCTGGAACGGCCGCGGTGCCCGCGGCACCTTTCAGACCCGCCGCCTCTCGGAGCTCCCCGAGATCCGACGGTGCCCGCAAAGATGCAGCGCCGCACCAGCATCACGACCAGAGCCCCAGACCCCATCCTCGTGCGTCCACTTTTGGGAGCAAACGCGCAGCCATGGGCACTGGGCTGAGCGTTTCCCAGGCAACATCGGGAGCATCTACAGCGGGCGCAACGCTGGCACATGCCACGCCGAGCCAAGCGATGCACCGTCGGCCACGCCGACTAGTATCTGGAATGACGGGGGCACGAGATGGAGCGGCAGCGCCCGGTGTGAAACAATTGCAGCGTAAGGACCTCAGGTAGGGGAACAAAAAGTTGCATAAACATGAACGCTCGGAGGTCCGCGGGGATTTCTCGGATCGGCGCTGGACCCCCCTCCCTGGCGCGCGGAGCGCGCCAGGGGCGGCGCCGGAGGCGCCGCCGGGGTGCCCCAGCGCCGATCCGAGAAATCCGCGCGGACCTCCGAGTGTTCATGTTTATGCCATTTTTGTTGTTCCCCCACCAGGGATCCCCGAGACGTGTGTCCCCGTCCGCCTCCGCGCCCCGGTCCCGGCGGCGCCTTTTACGGGGGCAGTCACGGGCTCCGGGCCGAGGCAAAATCAGGGTGGCGGCGGCAGAGGGCAAGCGCGCGGCGTGGAAAAGTTGCAGCGTGAGGCCCTCGTAGGGATCCCCGAGACGTGTCCCCGGCCGCCTCCGCCCCCCTGTCCCGGCGGCGTCTTTTGCGGGGGCAGTCAGCTGGGCTCCGGGCCGACGCGCAAAAGGAGGGTGGCGGCGGCAGGGGGCAGGCGCGCGGCGCCGGGGGACGCGCGGGCACGGCGAGGGGAATGCAAAAATAGCCAAAAATAGTCAAAAATAGTCAACAATAGTAAAGATTAGCCAAAATAGTCAAACATAGTCAAACATAGTCAAAAATAGTTACAAATAATCAGGGGACGGTTTCCAATTTTTATGTTTGATTTTTGAGCATATTTTGATTCTTTTTCATGTTTGGGGACGGTTTCCTATTTTTATGTATGATTTTTGAGCATGTTTTGATTCTTTTTCCTCCAAAAGACGCCCGTAAGAGGACGTGCCCGACCTAAAAGCCAAGTCTCAGAGCGAGTTCGCCCACCAACGCGTGGGCTTCCAGGCTCAGGGCCCGGTCATCTGGACACGGCCCATCTGGCGCGCTATTTGTTTGGCCCCATGGCAGGTAGAACTTGAGCGCGCGCGCGCGCGAAGCGCGCGCGATGGTTCTACAGTGGAAGCCCATGCCAAGAGACACCCGACTTGCCTCCAGGGTGCCCTGGGCTTCTTGGGTTTCGATGGCTCTGCCATGGAAAGCGTGGCGCTCCCACACCAAAAGTCGATGGGCATCCTGGGGCCTTCTGAGAAGGCGGGTGGGGCTTCTCAGCAGGCAGGGGCCTTCGTAGAAGGCCCGGGAGGCCTCTGAGGAGGCTCCTGAGTAGCTTTAAGTCGGACGTGCCCCTCTACAGGAGGAATATGCAAACATAGCCAAACATACTCTCGGGACGATTTTGTGAGTTTTTATTGCAATTTCTTGTTTTTTTGTGTTTTGATGTTTTTCTACGCTTTCGTCCGAAGTCCCCCTGTAGGAGGACAGGCCCGACTTACGAGTAGCTGGGCGAGCTTCCAAGAACCCCCCCCTACCTTCTTGGAAGCCACGCCGCCTTCTCGGAAGCCGCCTCCCCCCACGCCATCCCCTTCTGGGCGCCGCCAGGAACTGGCAGCGCCGCAGAGCGGTCCCAGAGACAGCTGGGGGCAGGGCCGACCGAGGGGGAATTCCTGGCAGGGGCCTGGCAGGGGAATCTATTTCCTCACGGCACAAGTGAAGACCCACTCATGGCAAGCATTGGTACCACAATCCGCAAACACACACGAGTGTGTGTGTGTGTGTGTGTGCGTGTGCGTGTGCGTGTGCGTGTGCGTGTGCGTGTGCGATTGCGTGTCTGTGTGTGTGTGTGTGTGTGTGCCAGTTTCGCTCTCGTGCCAAATGCCCATGCTTCCTGCGCTTTTCCAAGGCACGCCGGGAGTGCGTGCAGGTCCATGCCAGAGCTTGTGGAAGACGGGAGCGCTCTCTGCCTTGAGGGGCGCGCACGCGCGCGACGGGCACGCCCTGCCCGATCCGAGAGGCTTGCCGACCGACCCGCCTCGCGCACCCTGCGCGGCCGCATGGCCCAGCAGTGTGCCGGTGTCCCACGGGGATCTCGCCCCTCGCCTTCGACGAAGGACGACTCTGCACGCTTCGGCCGTCTGGCCCCAGGGGTGCCGGTGCCTCCCAGAGACCCCGCCTCGCTATCGGAGGAGGAGGAGGAGGAGGAGGAGGAGGAGGAGGAGGAGGAGGAGGAGGAGGAGGCCTCCCCCCGTCGCCGCAGAGCGGCACGGGGGCACGAGGCGAGCGCCGCCCGCGTGCGGCCAGGCAGCGCCCGTGCTCCCCCGCAGCCCTGGGCTCTTCGCGGCCCCGGCGCGGCGGCATGTGCGCCACGGCCAGCGACCCGCCGAGCCGCGCCCCCCCCGACGAGGGGCCCGCCGCGGCGGCGGCCCGCCCGCCGCGCTTCGCGGCCCTGGAGCGCCTGCGCCCGCCCTCGCCGCCGCGGGCCCGCGCGCCGCCCGAGCGCGCGCCGCGGCGCGGGGCCGCGGGCGGCGCCGCGGGCGAGGAGGCCGGCGGGCCACGCCGCGCGGCCGTCGGGCAGCAGGCCGGGCCGCAGGGGCCGGAGGCCCGCGCCAGGGAGCGGGCGGTGTGCGGGCGGGGGGCAACTTCGGAGGTGGACAGGCCTCCGACCTTGACACGTCGACTCAGGAATGGGCCGTTTTCGGTGCGCGAGGGGGCGTCGCGGCCGTCATTTTTGCGGGTCCAGGTCCGTCGGTTTCGGTCCTGGGCCGTTTTTCATTACAGGGAGGTTTACCAAAGGGAGGTCTGTCCACCGCCGATGATTTTTTTTTGGGGGGGGCGACCTGGGGGGGGTGGTGGTGAACAAAAAAGGCCCTGCAGTGGAGACCCATGGCAAGAGGCACCCTGCTTGCCTCCCGGGTGCCCTGGGTTTCTTGGGTCTCGGTGGCTGTGCTGTGGAGAGCGTGGCGCTCCCGCACCAAGAATCCATCAGTGGACGTCCTGGGGTCTCAGGGCTGGGCTCCGCGTGGAAGGTTCCTCGTGGTCGGGCCCCCGGCTGTGGAGGGGGGCCCCTCGGGGCCCGGAGCCCGCATGGGGCCTCTCGAAGGGGCCCTGCCGGGCGCCCGCTGCGGGCCTTTCTCTGCGCCCCCCCCCCGCGCAGGTCGCCCCCCCCCCAGTGGCCGCCCGCCCGAGGTGTGCCCCATCTGCTGCGGGGACCTGGGCAGCCTGCGGGAGGAGGTCGCCACGGGCGGCGAGGAACAAAACACACAGACACAATTAATCGTCGATCCCCCCGAAAATATGGGAAACTATGGGAAATGGGGGGGGAAGACGAAAATCCAGAACATATGGGAAAAGATCGGGAATCTTTTCAGTTGTGTGTACTTATGTGTGTGTCCTGGGGCCCCTTCAAACATGTCCGGATATCCGCGCCCTCGCTGGCTGGGCTCTGGCATCGCTCGGACATGTGCCTGGCATCGCTCGGACATCTGCATTTTTTCTCGGCGAGGCCATCGAGGAGCATCGTTGAGCGTGTGGCGAAAAAACCACGCACGAAAGCGAACAGAAACACAGGGAATGGACGTCCGAGCGATGGCCAGAGAGTGGGTTGTGGCTTTTGTCCAATCCTCTTGGGCCTCCTCCGTCTCCTCCCCGTCGTCGCTCTCGTGTCCGCCACGGGCGCTCCTGCCCGCGGCGTGGGAGCCGCACGATCTCCCCGAGGGGGGAGAGGAGGACGAGGACGAGGACGAGGACGAGGAGGAGGAGGAGGAGGAGGAGGAGGAGGAGGACGAGGAGCACAAGGAGGAGGAGGAGGAGGAGGAGGAGGAGGAGGAGGAGGAGGAGGAGGAGGAGGAGGAGGAGGAGGAGGAGAAAGAGGAGGAGGAGGCGGTCTCTGGCCGGCCTCTGGGGCGCGGTCCCGCGGGCGCGAGGTCGCACTGGATGCGCTCCGCGCGAGGCCTCTGGCCGCCGGGAGCGGCGGGCAGCAGCACAGCACCCTTCTCCTCCTCCTCCTCCTCCTCCCCTCCCCTCCTCCTCCTCCTCCTCCTCCTCCTCCCTCCTCCTCCTCCTCCTCCCCCCCCTCCTCCTCCTCCTCCTCCTCCTCCTCCTCCTCCCCCTCCTCCTCCTCCTCCTTCTTCTCCTCCTCTAAACCACCCCAACCCATCCCGAAGGCCCTCATTTGCTCTCCATTCCCAGTGGGGGGGCGTCGGGGAACAGGGAAAGACACATGTGGAACCATATGGAGCCCGCACCCACCCCGACCCGAAATGTTGGTCTTTGGGTTCGGTTGGGGTGGCCTGGCAGGCTGTTAGAACATATCCGCATCCGCGCTCTCGCGGTCTGGATTCCGGGGCGCGATCCCGCGGATACGAGGTCGCACGGATACGTTCCGCGCGGGGCCTTCGCGAAACAGCGCCGCGTATCCGCGGGGTTGCTGCCCAGGGGCCCAGCCGGCGAGGCCGCGGATACGGATGTGTGTCTCGCCCACGAGGTCGGGGCGCTGACCTACCAGGGCAGCCGCGTCGAGCGGGACCTGTACCACGTCGGGTGCATCACACAGATGCTCGCGCACGGCGGCAACATCCGGACGCAGCGGGCGCCCGGGGGTCGCGGCCGCGGCCGCGGCTTTGCGCCGTGCCAGATCTCTTGGGGCGCGAGCCCGGTCACCAGGAAGCCTGTGGACGGCTTTGCGCCCATGCCGCCGATGGAGGACAGGAAGAGGTGGGCGCAGTTCCTGGACTGGTCCGGCCGGGGGCACTGCGACGTGGCGGAGCTGGCCCTCGCGGTCGGCGCCATGCTCCCCGTCGACGAGGAGGCCATGGAGCTGTTCATGCGCCAGAACTTCGAGGTCTCCGACGACGGGTCGATCGCGCTGGCGGAGCTGGAGGAGCGCATCCTGCCCCACCTGGAGGAGCACTGCGAGGAGCTGTGCAGGAGCAGGGCGCGCGAGGCGCAGCGCCTGTCCCGTGCGCAGCACGAGCACCTCTGGCTGCGCCTCGAGCAGCGCGCCGGCGGGCAGCCGCTCCCGCTGGCCGAGGCCGTCGCGGCGGCGCAGGCCCTCTCGGGCGCGGCCGAGGAGGGGGACCCCCGCGCCATCCACATCGCTGCCCGGCTCCTGGAGGACCCCGAGGACGAGGTGCGGCGCGCCGCCGTCGTGCTGCTGACCCGGGCCGCCGCGCGGGGCGACCAGCAGGCGCTGGAGGCCGTGGGCGCGCGGCTGCGCAGCCGCAGCGTGGGCAGCCGCCTGGCCGCGCTGGACGCGCTGCGCCAGGTCGCCTGCGCGGGCGACCGCCGGGCGGTCGACATGGCCTCCTTCCAGCTCGGCGACCGGGACGCCGCCGTGCGGCAGGCCGCCGTGCGGTGCCTGGCGCAGGTGGCCGAGCCCGGCTGCCAGCTGGCCACGCAGGCGCTCTGCTTCCGGCTGGAGGACCGGAGTGCGGCGGTGAGGTGCGCCGCGGTGGAGGCGCTCAGGGGGAACGATGGGTTTCTGCCAGGGGGAAGGGGGAGGGAGGACCGAAGTCTCATACTACACGAAGGAGGAGGAGGAGGAGGAGGAGGAGGAGGAGGACGGAGGAGGAGGAGGAGGAGGAGGAGGAGGAGGAGGAGGAGGAGGAGGAGGAGGAGGAGGAGGAGGAGGAGGAGGAGGAGGAGGAGGAGGAGGAGAGGAGGAGGAGGAGGAGGAGGAGGAGAGGAGGGAGGAGGAGGAGGAGGAGGAGGAGGAGGAGGAGGAGGAGTAGGAGCTAGGAGCTAGGGAGGAGCTAGGAGCTAGGAGGAGGAGGAGGAGGAGGAGGAGGAGGAGGAGGAGGAGGAGGAGGAGGAGGAGGAGGAGGAGGAGGAGGAGGAGCTAGGAGAGGAGGAGGAGGAGAGGAGGAGGAGGAGGAGGAGGAGGAGGAGGAGGAGGAGGAGGAGGAGGGGAGGAGGAGGAGGAGGAGGAGGAGCTAGGAGGAGGAGGAGGAGGAGGAGGAGGAGGAGGAGGAGGAGGAGGAGGAGGAGGAGGAGGAGGAGGAGGAGGAGGAGGAGGAGGAGGAGGGGGGGATGGGCTCGGGCGGGGATGGAGCCACCCCGAATCGCCCACTCGTCGCCGATCGGGGCCTGACGGCCCTCCCCGCCCAGGACCGTGCGGATTCGCTCTCGGGGGCCCATCGCCGAGGTATCGGCGACGTCTCGCCGATTCCAGCTCGCGTCTCCCCCCCCCCCCCCCCCGCCCTGCCCTGCCTGAGGCGCTGGCGCGGGTGTCGTCGCATGGGGATCCCAGTGCCGTCGCCGCGGTGTCCGCGGGGGTGGCGGACCCGGACGCTTCCGTGCGCAAGGCCGCGCTCTGCACCCTGTCGCGGCTCGTGGAGACCCGGGCCTGCCGGCCTCGCCTTGCATGTCTCAGAGGGCGACGAACGGCACAGCATCAACTGCTCCGCCGCCGTGGACGCCTGCCCCACGGCGGCTGGAAATCGGGGGCCCCCAAACGGGGTGGTGACCACACCGAGCGGTGAGTCGGTGGGGATTCGGGGTCACCGCACGGTTTTGGGCCTCGGGTCGTCCTCCGAGGACGTCTCGGGCGACTGGGGCCTCCGAGGTCCCAAGACCGTGCGGTGATGGACCGTGCGGCGAGGTCTTGGGGTATTTCGAGGTCACCGCACCGTTTCGGGACTCCAAGGGAAGTTTATGCCCCGACGTGCCATCGTAAGGGTGTAGACTTTCCAGCCGCCCTGGGGCAGTCGTCCCGGGCGGCGGAACGGTTCGTGCTGTGCCGTTCTTCGTCTGCTGCTCTGCGCCTCGCGTTGCCCCGCCCGCACTTTTCCTCCGCTCCTCCGCCGGCCCTCTCCTGCCCTCCCCTCCCAGGTCGAGTTTTCGAGGCGGGGCTGGCAGGCACGAGCATGCGTTTTGCCCCTCGGTGTTGGCGCACGTCTCGCTTTGAGCGGTGACCCCGCGTGGGTTTCGGGGGCCCTCGGATCCCTCCCTGGGCCTTCCCCTCTCCGCTCCTGTCTTCCTCCCTCCCGAGGATCGAGGAGGGTACTAGGCGACGCCCGACGAGCTCTACGGGCCCGCGAAGCCTTGAGGGATACATGCGCGCGCTGTCCCCGCGCGCTAGCCGCTATAGCTCCCAACCACGGCGGCTCGGCAGGCATCCTCGCAGCGCCCTGCTGGGCGTTGCAGCGTGTCCCCGAAGAGTTTTCCTACTCTTAAGTCGGGCCTGTCCCTCTACAGGAGGAGTATTCAAAATCAGTAAAAAGAGTCTTGGGACGATTTGTTTAGTATCCTTGCCAATTGGGGGCATTTTTTTTTTTGTTTTCAACAATTTGTTCGTCCAATATTCCCCCCTGTAGGGGGACATGCCCGACCTACTCCTACTCTCCCCTCCTGGCCTTGCTGCCTCGACAGACGCCACCACTTCTCGTCGTCCGGGTTTTCTCTATTCCCTTCGTCTTCTGGCAATCCTCAGGCATCGTTCAGGGAGGTCACCGCCAGGGAAGGTGCCCATGTCTTCGCGAGGATCGGGAGGGTTTCTGGAACCTTGTCGGCGCTTCTGGGCGCCGCGTAATGGGGGGTCATAAATGGGGGGGTGGCGAGGGTGGTTCGAAAAGGTACCCAAACGGTACCTAAACGAGCCCCCTGGTGCTCTGGAGAGGCCCGAACGGGTACGAAAGGGGACCGTTTCTGACCCCCCCGTTTATGACCCCCCATTAAGTCCCGCTCGACCCCGGGTGTTTCTGGGCGGGCCTGGGGGGTCCTCTGGGGGGTGTTCTCCCCCCCCTTCGCCCCTGGACAATCCCGAGATCCGATCTTGCAAGCACGTGCCCGAAACGTACCCACCCCCTTTGTGCACGTGAGGCGGCTATTCTTATGACCGCTTCATGCACACGAGCACGTGAGGTCCCGTCTGGGTGCGCGTGGCCCCCCGATTCCGCTGGATTTCCTAGGAGTTCACGAAAGTGGCCACGGTTGCGCAATTCGAAGTCTTTCAGGGAGCAGGGAGGTCCCGTCTGGGTGCGCGTGGCCCCCGACACTGCTGGACGTTCAAGGAGCCCGCGAAAGAAGCGACTGTTGCGCAGATCGCAGCCACCCAGGGAGCAGCGAGGCCCCGTCCGGGTGCGCCGCGCGACGCCGTTGTACCTCACAGGAGCCCACGAAAACGGTGCCATTTACGCAGTTCGCAGTCTCTCAGGAAGCAGCGAGGTCCTGTCAGTGTGCAAGTGCCCTTCGATTGCGCTGGACCTCCCAGGACCCATCGAAAGTGGTCCTGGGCCGCACGCAGGCACTTCGCAAGTGCCTTTCCAGGGCTGGCCGTAGGCACCTCCCAAGTGCCTTTCCTGGGCAGCCTGCAGGCACTGCACAAGTGCCGTCCCCAGGCGCCCGCAGGCACCTCCAAAGTGCCTTTCCTGGGCTCCCCGCAGGCACCTCATCATTTGCGCAGTTCGCAACCACCCAGGGAGAGGCGAGGTCCCTTTTTGGTTCGCGTGGCCCCCGACACTGCTGGACCTCCCATGACCCCGCGAAAGTGGTGACCGCTGCGCAGTTCGCAGCCATCCGGGGAGCAGCTAGGTCCCGTCTGTGTCCGCGTGGCCCCCGGCTCCGATGGGCTTCCCGGGGCGCGCGAGAGTGGTGTCAGTTGCGCAGCTTGCAGCTCCCCCAGGGAGCAGCGAGTCCCGTCTTGGTCCGCGTGGCCCCCGGACTCCGCTGGACCTCCCAGGAGCCCACGACAGTTTTGACCGTGGCGCAGTTCGCAGCCCCCCAGGGAGCAGCGAGACTCGCATGGGTCCGCGTGTACCTCCACTCCGCTGGACGTCCCAGGAGCCCACGAAAGTGGCGACGTTTGCCAGGGAGCAGCGAAAACCTGCCTTGGTTCGCGTGTGCCTCCGACTCCGCAGGACCTCCTAGCAGACCACGAATTGTGGTGACCGTTGCGCAGTTCGCAGCCGCCCAGGGAGCCGCGAGGTTCCCGCCTGGGTCCGCGTGTGCTTCCGATTCCGCTGGACCTACCAGGAGCCCACGAAAGTAGCGACAGTTGCGCAGTTCGCAGCCGCTCAGGGAGCATCGCATGAGGAGGCAGGAGGAGGAGGAGGAGGAGGAGGGAGGCGGGACGGAAGAGGCGGGGGCCACATTGCTCTAGTCAAGACGAGAAACCATTGCAGGAGAGGGGGAAATATCCAGCATCCAGAAAAATCACGACGGGAGCTCTAGACCCAAATCTTTCTGGGCTATTTTTCGAGCCGGATCGATCCGTGAGGGCCCCAGGGCCTGAAACTGGGCGAAAACGCGTGGCGTGAAACGTTGCAACGCCAGGCTCTTAGGGAACGTGGCAACCCCTTTTTGAGAGGATCCCCTTGGAGATGCCTGCGATCGGCGGCGAAATCCAAACTCTACCCCTCGCCGATCAACGACTCACGCAACTCGATGGGCACTGGGGGTAGGGATCGGAGTTCGTCGAGCACGCGGCGGCATCCGAACCCCATCCCCAGACAGCCATCGATCGATTCAGGAGGATCGATGGTGGGTGGGGGTTGGGCTTCGGAGGTCGCCACCTGTTTTCACCGCTCCCGCTTCCTGGGGGCCCCACGCGGGGCCCCGGGACGGGCAGAGAGCGACCCGGGGCGACGCAGAGGCCCTCTGGGGTCGGTGCCTTCTTCCGGGGCCCGCGCTCGAGGGCCTCTGGGGGGCGCCCCTCGCCCCTCGCCCCGCTGCCGGCCCTGCGGAGTGCCCGCGGGCCCGGGGGAGCCCTGGGACGGGGGTCCGTGCAAGCGGGGGCCAGCTGGAGCGTCCGATCTTCCCAGGCCCCCTCGGGAAATGAAAAAATCGTGACGGGAGGTTTTTCCTAATTTTCGGCCTCTGGAGGCCCTGACCGGCCCTCGGGACCGCCAAAAAACGACTCAGGATGCAAAACCGGTCCCGGGGAATGGGTCGAGATCTCTGGGGGTCGACGTCATGACAAAATCCTGACGTCGGGGGTCTGGGTTGCAGGCTCCTGCAGGGCCAGGGCCGCATCGACCCGGGCCTGGGCGCAGGATGCTGCAGGATCTCGCAGGATCCTTGGCACCGACCCGGGTGGTGTGGGCGCAGGAGCTGGCAGAATACTGCAAGGCCTGGCTGGCCCGACTCTGGAATTGACCCGGGTCAGAGGATGATCCCCGACTGGCCCTGCAGCGCAGGGTGCGGATCGGGCGTCGAGCAATGGCAGGGGCGATCAAAGGGGTGGGGTGGGGGGCGAAGGACGGGGTGCGCCGTCTGCCCTGAAGAGGCCCCCCAAAAGGGGCCTCCCTGGGCCCGAACGGGGCACGAAGGGTGTACTTTTCTCTCCCCCCCCCCCCGTTCATCGCTGGCCCCCCCCCCCCCCCAGCATGAAGTCGGGGGGGGGGGGGGGGGCGAAGAACGGGGTGCGCCTTCTGTGCCCTGAAGAGGCCCCCCAAAAGGGGGCCTCCCTGGACCCGAGCGGGGCACGAAGGGTGCACTCTGCATTCTGCCCCCCCCGTTCATCGCCCCCCCGCCAGCATGAAGTCGGGCATGTCCCTCTACAGGAGGAAGATTCAAAAATAGTCAAAACGTAGTCTGGGGACGATTTTTTCTTCTCTTTTTTATATAGTATTTCAATTTTTTTTCCGCCAGAGGTCCGCTTGTAGGGGGACATGCCCGACCGAACACCCCAGAGCTCCAAGTTTTTCGATGCGTTGGCCCTGGAGGTCCGCAACACTTCCCTCGGGCCGGTCTTTCGTCCCGAGTCGTTGTTTGACGGCCCCGAGGACCAGCGAGGGCCCCTGGAGGCCGAAAACGGCCCCAAACCCGCCGCTCCCCTTTTCTGTGGAGCGTCGGATCTCAGGGACGTCGCCGACGTTATGATTCTTTTGTTGCGTGGACCCCCAGAGGTCCCGACCCTTTCTCCATGACCGGCTTTGCATCCCGAGTCGTTTTTTGACGCTCCCGAGGCCTGGTGAGGGCCCCCGGAGGCCGAACATTTAGGAAAACCTGCCGTCATGATTTTTCCTTCTATTTCTCATCCCTCGAGTTACAAGCCTGGAACATATCCCTATCCCTATGCTGGGCATCTCCTCATCACGATGCCGATCTTAGGGATTCCCTTATTTTTTTGAGGGCGAATCCCTAAGATTGTCATCGCCTTTGGGGATAGGGATACGTTCGAGGCTGGTAATCGAGGGGGCCGGCATCCACGCCCGCTCGGACGTCGCCTCCCGGTGCGAAGCCCCCCCCCGCAGGAGCGGCGCAACGACTGCGCCGTGGAGGCCGTGCTGGTGCAGCTCGCGGACCCCGACGGGGGCGTGCGGCGTGCGGCTGTGGAGGCGCCGGCCCGCCCGGCCCCCGGTCGGCTCCCGCCTCCTCCTCCTCCTCCTCCTCCTCCTCCGTCCTCCTCCTCCTCCTCCTCCTCCTCCTCCTCCTCCTCCTCCTCCGCCTCCTCCTCCTCCTCCTCCGCCTCCTCCTCCTCCTCCTCCTCCTCCTCCTCCTCCTCTGGCTCCCCCCGCTCTACGCCGTCGTGTCGTCTTCGTCGTGGTCTGCTCTCTCCTCCCCTCCCCAGACCCCCTCGAGTAATGCAAAAATCATGACGGGAGGTTTTTCTGAATTTTCGGCCTCTGGGGCCCCTCACCAGGCCTCGGGAGCGTCAAAAAACGACTCGGGATGCAAAGCCGGTCATGGGGAAAGGGTCGGGACCTCTGGGGGTCGACGTAATGAAAAAATCATTACGTCGGGGTTTTGGGTCCTCCCCTCCCAGGGTCCCCTCGGGTAAGGATCGGCGGCGAGCGAGGGGGGGAAGTGAGAAGGGGCGAGCCTTCTCAGAAGGCTCGGAAGTCCCCCAGCCTGCTGAGAAGTTTTCCAAGCCTTCCCCGAAGACAGAACAAACTTCTCAGAAGGCGCGAGGGCTTCTGAGAAGTCCCGCCGCCTTCTGAGAAGGCCTTCTCCTTCTCACTTCCCCCCCTCGCTCGCCGCCAAAAGGAACAAGTGATGGCGGGAGTTTTTTTCAGAATTTTCGGCCTCTGGGGCCCTCGCTGGTCCTCGGGACCGTCAACAAAAGTCAGGTTGCCGAGACATTGTCTGCTCGCGGACCGCGTTTGCATGCTCAGCTCGCGTTTGGCGCAGCTCGCGTTTGGCGCGCATCTGGCGCGTCGACCGTTGCGCCGTCTGGCAACCGACTTCGCATTCCGATGTGGTGTGCCGCGCCGGCGGCCCGCGTGAGCCGCGGCGTAGGGTCGCTACGCAAACGTCATCTCGCGTGAGGCCCGTTTCTTTTCGTCGCTCCCTTGCCTTTCCTCGTCTTCCTCGCGCTCCCTAGTTCCCCGACGCTTCGCCCTGCACGTGCTCTCTCTCGCTCCCTCTCTCTGTGCACGGTGTCCCCGTGCTGCCGCTCCCTTCCCCGGCCTCGTCGTCGTCGTCGTCGTCGTCGTCGTCGTCGTCGACGGAGAAAAGGGGAACACACAACAACAAAGCTCAGTAAGGAACAAGCACAACCATCAAACACACGGAAGTACACAACAATAACAATAGACAACAGCAACAGCAGCAGCAGCAACAACAGCCAAACAACACGACAACAAGCGTCGCAACGACAACAATAGCCAAACAACACGCGACAACACACGTCGTCGTCGTCCTCCTCCTCCTTCCGCGCCTGCTCCGTTGGCGTGCATGTGGGCTCCAGAGGAGGTTTGTCCCAGATGTGGCCACACTAGGGCTAAGCCATTCGGCTAGGAGATCGGCTACATAATAGATTTACCCCAACATTGGAATTCCTGCCGAATCTACAAACTATATATATATAGACTGTTCGCACATCTACCTACATTTTAAGTATTTTCGTAGATCCGCTAAACTTTCAATTAGGGGTAAATCAATTATGTAGTCGATCTCCTACTCGAGCCATAGTGGCGTGGCCAGCCGCCGAAGATGTCTGCGAACACGGCAGACTGGACAGACCCGGACGAAGCTCTGGACCTCAACAACATAAGGCGAAGCCTCCAGCGGATGGAAGACTCCATCATATTCAGCCTCATCGAGCGATCGCAGTACCGCGTGAACCGGGCCGTGTACCAGCCGAACTACCAGAAGCTCAGCAAGTTCCATCTGCACCAGCTCAGGATGTCTGGCTCCGACGGCAGCCTGGGCGACTGGTTCATATCGAAGACGCACACGGCGAACCACCGCCCCCCCCGCCTTGGTGGAAACGCCTGTCTAGCCAAACGTTGGGTTCTGGCCGAGCTATTGGGTTAAGAGTGTCTATTATTCCAGGAGAGGAGGAGGAGGAGGAGATGGAGGAGAACAGGTGGGTCCGGATTTGTCAGGGGGGGCAGGATTTGTCCACCATGGCCAGCGCGTGCTGCAGGCAACGTGGTGAGCGAGGGGGAACAAAAAAAAAGAAAAAAGATGGAGGAGAACAGGTACAGGCCCCTTTGGGGGCCTTCTCGGGTTTCCGGAGGCCCCCAATGGGGCCTCAAGAGACCCTGGTGGGGTCGCCTTGGGCCTCTCGAGCCGTCTCAGGGCTCTCTTTGGCCGTCTGATGCTTTCGGAGGCCGTCTGGGGGACCTCTCAGGGCTGTCTTGGGTTGCTTGGGGGTTGTCTTGAAGGGCTCTTGGGCTGTCTTGGAGCCTTCTTGGGGGCCGTCTGGAGGTCCTCTTGGCCCGTCTTGGGGCGCTCTGGGGGACTTTGGGGCCGTCTTGGGGACCATCTTGGAGAGTCATGGACGAGCTTGGGGTGTATTTGATGCTTCTTGGGCAAACTTGAGTCCGTCTTGAGGCCATCTTGGGCTGGACTTGGCCCACTTGGAGGCCATCTAAGACGCCCCCAAGGCGGCCTAGATTTTTGGCCGTCTCGGGGGCGTCTTTGGACAATTTTGGAGGCCATCTTGGAGAGCCATCTTGGGCAGGAAATCCACTGGGAACATTTTTCTAGTCCGCCTGGTTCTTTCCAGGTGGCCAGCGGATTGAGCCGAGGGCCTTTGGGAATCTTTTTGGAAGGGCCAAGCAGTATGCGAAAGTCTGGTACGCCAAGCACCTCTTTGCAAGCAACAGGGGGCGGCGGATCGAAGACGCCTACGGCGAATCACCGTCGCCCCCTGCCATTGTGGAAGCGCCTCTGTGGCCGACAGCTGGGCTAGAGCTTGGCCAAGCTATCGGGACAGTTGTTCTCCGAGTTGGTTTGGAGAGCCTTCGGGGAACGCGTGGGGGAGCAAGAGGTTTGAAAGCGCCCATGTGCCCGAGTGTTGTGGCAAGAGCTCTGCCAATCTATTGGACAATTGGTCCCCCCTGACCGTTGTGGAAACCCTTCGGGGGAACACTTGGGGGACGATGGCGGGGAATCATGAGGATGAGGAGGAAGAGGAGGAGGAGGATGAGGAGGAGGAGGAGGAGGAGGAGCAGAAGGAGGAGGAGACGAGGAGGAGACGAGGAGGAGGAGGAGGGGGGGGGGAGGAGGAGGAGGAGGAGGAGGAGGAGGAGGAGGAGGGGAGGAGGAGGAGGAGGAGGAGGAGGAGGAGGAGGAGGAGGAGGAGGAGGAGGACAAGGCATCTTGTGAGCTTCTGGGGGCACTCTTGGGGCCTCCTGGGGGTTTCCTGGGAGCCTCTTGGAGGCATGTTGGGGTCCTCCGTGGGCCTCTTGGTTTGGGGGCTTCTCGGGGGCCTCTTTGGCCGTCTCAGGGCATTCCTTGCCCGTCCGACGCTGTCGGAAGCCGTCTTGGGGGCCTCTCTGGGCCGATTGGAAACCCTCTTGGTGTGCTCCAGGGCCATTCTGGAGACCATCTTGGGCGTCCTGGAGGCTTCTTGGGCCGTCTGGGGGTCCTCTTGGGACCGTCTTGGGGGCCTCTTGGGCCGTTCTGGGGTCGTCCTGGAGGCCTCTTAGGCGATCTTTCTGGGCTCTTGGGCCGTCTCGGGCCGTCGGAAGGCCGAAAAGAAGCTAATGCCAACATCTTCCAACAACCAGAGACACATCCATGATTTCGCCCTGTTCGGGCCTTCCTGGAGGCCCTCTTGGAGGCCTCTCGGGCCGTCTTGGAGGCCTCTTGGGCGTATTTTGGGTCGTCTTGGGCCGTCTTAGAGCCATCTTGGGACATTTAGGTGGGCTCCTGGCCCGCCAGAGGCCGTCGGAAGCTGTCTTGGGGGATTCTCTGGGCCGACTTGGGGCCCTCTTGGGGTGCCCTCTTGGGGTGCTCCAGGGCCGTCTTGGAGGCCATCTTGCGCGTCTTGGAGTCATCTTGGGCCGTCTTGTCGCCCTCCTGGGGCGGTCTTGGGGGCCTCTTGGGTCGTTCTGGGGCCATCTTGGAGGCCTCTTGGGCGATCTTGGGGCGATATTCTGGTGCTCTTGGGCCGTCTCGGGCCGTCGGAAGGCTGAAAAAAAACAAATGCCAGAATTCCTTAAACCATTCAAGGGAAATCAATGTTTCTGGCCTTTTGGGGCTCTCTTGGGGCTCTCTTAGGACGCTTTGGCGGCCTCTTGGGCCATCTTAAGGCAATGTTGGGCCTTCTTGAGCCTTCTGGGAGGCTTCTTTTGGACGAACTTGGAGGCATCTTGGACTCTCTTAAGCCGTCTTGGAGGCCAGCTCGGACCATATTGGCCGAACTTGGAGGCCATCTTGGCTGTCTTGGAGGCTATCTTGAGCCGTCTTGGAGAGTTTTTGGTGTGCGTCCTTCCGGGTGGCCGGCGGGACGGGCCGAAGCCCCAGGGGGAGTTCTTTTGGGAAAAGAACCAACACCAACACCGAAAGGGTCCAGCACGCCAGGCACCCCTGTGGCAAGCCAACAGGGGGCGGCGGATCGAAGACGCCTACGGCGAATCACCGCCGCACCCTGCCCCTTTGGAAGCGCCTCTGTGGCCGACAGCTGGGTCAGAGCTTGGCCAAGCTATCGGGCCAGTTGTTCCCCGAGTCGGTTTGGAAAGACTTCGGGGAACGCATGGGGGAGCAAGAAGAGGAGGAGGGGGAGGATGAGGAAAAAAGAGGAGGAGGAGGCCTCTTTGGCGCCTCTTGGGGCACTCTTGGGGCCTCCTGGGAGCTTCCTGGGGGCCTCTTGGAGGGTTTGGGGGGGCCTTTGGGGGCTTCTTGGGGGCCTCTTTGGCCGTCTTAGGGCGTTCCTGGCTTGTCTGACGCCGTCGGAAGCCGTCTTGGGGGCCTGTCTGGGTCGTCTTGGGGCCCTCTTGGGGCATATCAGGGGTTCTGAGAGGCCATCTTGGGCGTCTTAGAGGCCTCCTGGGCCGTTTTGGGGCGCCATCTTGGACCCTCTTGGAGGCCATCTTTGGCCAACGTGACCATCTTGGAGGCCATGTTGGGCCGTCTTGGAGGAAGAATTGGGATTGGGCGATGGCGTGTGCGTCTTACGGGTCTTGGGGGGCGGCCGGCGGGACGGGCCGAAGCGCCAGGGAGAGTTCTTTTAGAAAAAGAACCAACACCAACACCGAAAAGATCCAGCACGCCAGGCACCCCTGCGATGAATCGACAGGGGGCGGCGGATCGAAGACGCCTATGGCGAATCACCGCCGCCCCCTGCCTTTTTGGAAGCGCCGATGTGACCGAACGTTGAGGCCAGACCTGCCAAGCCATCGGACCATGTGTTCCCCGAATCGGTTTGGAATGCCTTTGGGGAACATGTGGGCATCTTGAAGGTCATCTTGGGCGATCTTTCGGCGATGTTTGGGGGCTCTTGGGCCGTCTCGGGCCGTCGGAAGGCCGAAAAGAAGGAAATGTCAAAATCCGTCGAAAACCTTAGGACAATCAAGGTTTTTGGCCTTTTCTAGCCTTCCTGGAGGCCCTCTTGGGGGCCTCTTGGGCCGTCTTGGGCCAGCTTCGAGCCAGCTTCGGCCATCTTGGTGGGTTCCTGGCACGTCTGACGCCGTCGGGAGCCGTCTTGGGGGTCTTTCTGGGCCAACGGGGGACCCTCTTGGGGCGCTTCGGGGCCGTCTTGGCGGCCATCTTGGGCGTCTTGGAGGCCATCTTGGACGTGTTGGAGGCCTCTTGGGCCGTCTTGGGGCCCTCTTGAGGCCGTCTTGGAGGCCACTTGGGCCGTCATGGGGCCCTCTTGGGGGCCTCTTGGGCGATCTTGGGGGCCTCTTGGGCCGTCTTGAGTCGTCGGAATGCCGGGAAGAAGCAAATTCCAAAATCCTGCAAAAACCTAAGGAAAATCAATGATTTTGGCCTCTTCGGGCCCTCCTGGAGAACCTCTCGACGGGCTCTTGGGCTGTGCTTGAGGCCTCTTAGGGGCCTCTTGGGCGGCCTTGGGCCATCTTGAGGCTATCTTAGGCCGTCTTGGGTACATCTTGGGCTGTCTTGGAGGCATCTTAAAGCCATCTTAGCAGTCTTGGAGGCCATCCGGGCCGTCTTGGAGGCACCTTGGAGGTCATCTTGGAGCCGTCTTGGGCAGGAAATTGGGGAATTGAGGTCCTTGGCAATCCTCCCAGGACCCCGGCGGGACGCGCCGGAGCCCCAGGGGGAGTTCTTTTGGAAAAAGAACCAAAACCAAAACCGTAATAGTCTGGCACGCCAGGCACCCCTGTGATGAATCAACAGGGGGCGGCGGATCCAGTGGCCTTCGGCCCATCCCGCCACCGTGCGGGCAGCAAGAGGCCTCTCAGCTGCTGGGGTCTCTCGGGATGGTCTTTTGGGGCCCCGCGGAGGCCTCCTGGGAGACCGGCGGACACAGCTCTCAGTGCGCGCCGGCGACGCCGGCAAAATCGTTCAAGCTTGAATCCTGCGACGCAGAAGCACCGAGGGACACGGTAACGCCACTGGACCCGACAGAATTCAACCTCGAAGGATCGGGGCCGCGATCGATCCAAGGTTGCACGATCGACGCGGTGACAAAAGACCTTTGCGCGCGCCGACGTCGCACGAACATGCCGTACAGAGGCACTGAAGGGGAAGGAGGAACCAGGGGAGGCCAAGCGTACCCCAGAACAGACGTTCCCTGCAGAGGGGGCCTCAGGGCCCACCTTGGGGCGCCCAACGGCTGCGTCTTGGCGCCCACCGCGGCTGGAACCGTGGCCGCTGCGACACCTCGCTGGGGGTACGTCGTCCTGGGGGCTCGTTGAGCCCCTCCCGGAGGAAGCAGGACGCACTTTTGGTAGGTGGATCTCTCCGGCTCTCTCCGCCGCCTCTGGCGGTGTGCGCTGCGAGCAGGAGCGCAGCAAAGCCACAGGAAAGCGCGGCATTGACAGTGTACAGTCGGTGCGCTGAAGACGGAACCCTTTTCGTTGTGGAGGGGCTCCGTATTGCTTCACAGCTTGCCTCAGGGTTTCCACATGTTTTCGACGGGGAATCGAAGTCTAACTTAGGGAAGAAGAGGGGCCTCGTTCCTTATTTAGGGTTCCTTAGGTCAACGCCCCGACTGCAGCTCCGCACGCGCGACACATGTCAAACGAGCTGGAGGCCACAGCGTGCCGTGCAGCGGGCGCGGCCCGCGCGCGAGGCGTGCCCTCGCCGCCCCTGCCCGGGCCCGCCGCGCCCGCCCCCCGCGCCCGGCCCGCGCTCGGGAAGAGGGCGCTCCCGCCCGACCCGGGTCGGGCGAAAGGGGGGGATTGGGAAAGGGGGGGGGGTACGAAATTTGCTGCACGCAGCTGGTTTCGGCTCCGAGGGGCCCGCGCTCGGGAAGAGGGCTTTGCCATCCCCCCCTTTCGCCCGACCCGACGGACGCTCGACTCCGGCCCCGCGAACGCCTGGCCTGGCACGGAGAACAGTCGGCGGCGAGGGGGGGGGGGGGGAAGTCTCGGGCTCGAGCTTCGAGGTGTTCGGGCGTGCTCGTCGGTCCGCGGGCGGTTTCCCAGCCTCGGGGTGCGTGCCAGCGGCTGCGCCCCGCGGAGGGCGTCCAGGGGCTGCCCGGAGCATCCCGAGCGGCCAGCGGAGGCCAGAGTTATGACCCCAAAAGCCAAGCTCGGCGGCGAGCGAGGGGGGGAAGTGAGAAGGAGGAGGAGGAGGAGGAGGAGGAGGAGGAGGAGGAGGAGGAGGCTCAGAAGGCGGCGGGATTTCTCAGACGTCCTCGCGCCTTCTGAGAGGCTTCTTGTGTGTCATCGGGGAAGGCCTTCAGGAAACTTCTCAGCAGGCTGGGAGACTCCCGAGCCTTCTGAGAAGGACCCCCCCCTTCTCGCTTCCCCAGGGCTCGCCGCCGCCGAACCATGGATGGAGAAACAGGCGGGGGGACGAATCAGGAGGCGAAGAAACACACAGACACAATTTGAGCCGATTCTCAGAACATGGGGAGAAAATATGGGAAACGGGGGAAAACGAAAACCCAGCAAACACGTGGACATCTGGGGAGTCCTGGGACTTGTGTGTGTATTTGGTTGTGTGCCCCTGGGCCCCTTCCACGAAGGACGGCACGTGGAAACGAGAGCCCGACGGGGGGCCCGAGGACGTGCCACTCCGTAGCCCCCCCTGACCTTCCAGGAGGGCTAAAAAATAGCACCCGACCTGAAAACCTATCCCAGAGCTATTCTACGTCTTGGTTTTCGGCTGCTTCGTTCGGTTTTTAGGTTTTTAGGCCTCCAGTGCTAAAAAATAGCTCTCTGGAAGGTCAGGGCCGGGGCGCGGCGGCGGATACCAGACCGAGTGCCTGCACGCGCAGGTTCGGCGCTACTCGCACCCCACGGAGTTCGCCTTCTTCGGGCCGCTGCCCGAGCCCACGCTCGGGGCGGGCGAGCCGGAGGCGAAGGCCCCGATCCTCGCGCCCGTGCCGCGCGAGGCCGTGATCAACGGGCGCCTGCTCGAGATATATCTGGGGCCGGGGAGTCTATGCAGTCAGTCCCCCTCCCCCCCCCTCGCCCTCCAGCCGAGAGGTCCTCGCGTGGACAAGAAAAACACGACGGCGGGCTGTTCTACACTGTCGGCCTCCGCGGGGCCCCCGTCG